ATACCCAAAAAAAAGGGAACATCAAAAGAACAAGAATCAAGCAGGGATGAATAATCTTGAACAAGAATTGATTACGAATTCATCCAGAATGAGGACTTTGTAATTATCGATATCCAAATAGCATAGCCCAAGTTAATATTACCTTTTCACTACCGATCATGGCAAAAACTGGAAACATGAAATTCTGCTGCACCAAATTTACCAGCATTAGCTGTATTTTTACTTCTTCCACATGCATATCAATGCACACAGAATGTTCACTGCTGGGCTACATCATAATCGATCACTAAATATTGAATTTATAACAACGAATAAACACATGCAGCTCAAATTGTTCTATTGTTGAAAACCCTTCCACAGGACCATTCACTGTCCACAATCATGAAACCCATACCAGAATTCACAAAAAAACGAACCTAATTAATAAATATCCCAAGCTCCTACCTATAAAATCATGAAACCCAGACCAAAATTTATACCAACGCACACCCAAATTGAATGAAATGGATAATTTAATAATGAAAAGATGAAAGGAATGAACAATAAAATCAAATTTCATATATTTTGGTTAATTACTAACAAGAAGATAATCAAACTATAACAATTTTAACTTCACCTGTAGACAATTTCTCTACTAGATAAACTTACAAAGTCATCAATACCCAAACTGATTACAACTTACAATCTCATATAACCCACCAAACCCAAATTCTCAAATAAATCCAACCACAAAAAAAATGATCATAATTAAAACCCAAGCCAAGCATACACAAATAAAATCATAAAATCAAGAGAGAAATCACAGCCAACCTCTATTATAAAGAACAAAGACAACCTCAAAACGACTTTATAGCTTACAAATTCCAGTAAAAACAACTTTTATAGCTTTTGGTATACGGCTTCTTTCTTTAACCGCAGTAATCAATAAAACCCATTTTTCACTTTATTTATAACTTATTGAAAACACTAAAAAGCAAACTGATATTAAAAAATAAGCTTTGGAAACAGATTCATTTGATTTGTATTTACTTGGATCAAGAATATATCAGATATTTGGTAATTCCAATGAATGAATCCTAAACATAAACAAAACGCCTACACGTTTATTTTCAATTGTTAAGTGATTACACGAGGAGATTCCTGATCAAGAAACTAAAACCCCATACTAAGCGCATTCCCATGATGATCACGCAATTGTTCAACAGCAACAAGACTTTTTTGCTTCATCAGAGGTGGTTTTGGCCAATAATCCGAAGACTCAAGTAGCTTGAAACCGGCACGAACATGATAATTCGACCGATTCTTGTCTTCTCCAACGATCTCCCAAGCTGTGGTTATGAGTTTCATGGCTCCAGGTGCCGCAACGCAGATAAACTCATCAGGGTTTATCATCTTTCCAATTTTGACATACCGATGAGTGATGGATTGACAAGAAAGCAACTCATCTCGGATGTTAAGAACACCGTACCAGTCAGTCTCTCCGGTTTTGGTTCTCTTATGCGAGTGATCATAGTGTATACGATACACCTCCACATAGCGATCAACATATTCGAAGAAAGGATCCACAAGCTTGGCTGAAAGAGCCCACCTATACGCATCTTTGAAATTGTTCTTCAAGAATTCCTCCTTGGCAGTATCAAGCATCACTTCCGTCATTGTTGTTTCAACACAAACAGAGGAATTATTAAAGAAATAAGAGAAACAGAGGTTCAAGAACAGAGAATAGCAACTCGAATTTCTGAAAACACTCAGAGAAAGGGAGAACAAAGGAAGCTCTGTTTTAGGAAACTCTAGTTTTTGCAGACTTGGAGAGTTCTATAGAAAATAAGTAAGAGTTTGCTATTAATTGCGTTACAAGTAAGTCGATTGTCAAACCCTAATTTCCAAAACTAAAAAGGACCGTTAATTTGCCCTTTCTTGGAACAGATTTTTGAAATAAAGGCGCCAAAATTAAAGCCTGGAGGAAGTTACCGTTACTCTGTGGGCTTTTAAACTTTTAGTAGATTAATAACATTTTGTCCCTATTAACAGTTCTAATAAGAAATGACTGGACACTTTCTGAAAAATAAAAAAAAATAAAAATAATCATTTTCACTGGTTTAATTAATTTAAGAATTTTATTCCGAACAAAATTTTTTACGAAATTAACAAATTTTAGTTTTTAGTTTTCTATTTTTCAAATAAATTCTGCTTCCATCTTACTGCAGTTTAAAAATGTAAGATCTTGAGTTTTCCGCTCTTCAGCAAGGATTGATCGAATTTATAAAAATAAAAGAGTCTGTTGATAAATATGAAGATAAATTCCAAGTAAATCAATAGTGAAATGTATGTTAATTAGGGCTGTAAAAAACCGGTTAACCGAACCGGATATGTGCTTTTTGTAATCGAACCGGTTTTTTGGTTCAAGCCATATTGCAAACCGAAACCGGTCTGGATTTTGGCATAAACCGGTTTGCAAACCGATCCGGATTTCTAGTTTGCAATCCGGTTAACCGGCTTTATTAATAATTTTTTTTTGCCTTTTTTTTATATGTTATGATAAAAAAAAAAAAAAAAAAAATTATATGATGGTGTCCCTGACTGCGTTTAAAGCTGCAGCTTGCTGTTCAGGTGTTCCAATATCTCCAGAGACAATGTCTATTATTTTCCCACCAAATTTCGGCTGCACAATTGATTCAAAGTTTAGAAAAACTCATCAGCACATATTTAAGAACCAGGTAAGTCATTCTAAATTCAACTTGAGAAAAGAAAGAGTACCAATACAAAGAATTCATACAATCAAGATACTAGACAAGGATGCAATCAATAGAGCTACTGTAGCAATTATCAGTTTCCCCGCATCAGGTTTTGCCTGAAATGTGATACAAGGTCAACAATTTCAACATTCTCAATGACTAAATTCTACTTCCAACAATAAACACCAGGAATCAGCCACTTACAAGAGCAAGTACTCTACAGAACCTCACGTTTGCAGCCTGACAGTTCAAGAATGAGTCATCCCTTCTTAATACAGTTCAAGAAAGAAAGTCAAAAGTAAGAAAACCTAAGAAATATATTTGAGACTATATAAAATCCTATTCCTACTGACCTAACCACCAAAATCTTCAGTTGTTGGAGACTAGAGAGGGCAGCGGCGACGACTGGAGTCTTGGAGAGTGGAGAGGGCGGCGGCAGCCGACGAGTTTGAGAGGAGAGGACGGGAGGAGGAGAGACGAGTAATGAAGAAGAAGAAGGACTTGGGAGCGAAATCAACAGGGAAGTGGAGAAGGCAGCGACGACTGGAGTCTTGGAGACAATGGAGAGTGGAGAGGGCAGCGGCGGCCGACGAGTTTGAGAGGAGGAGTATTGTCGAGTGTGAAGTTAGGGATTCAAGATTCAAATTTTTCAAACTAATATTAGATTTAGGTATATAGGATTTTAGATAATAAGGATTTTTAAAAATTAAAATAATATTATTATATGAATAGGATTATAGGAAAACCGGTTTATTAAACCGGTTATGAAAATGATATAAACTGTAAACCGAACCGGAAAATCGGTTTAGCCATTTTTTAAAACCGAAATTGAAACCGGTTAACCGGTTTTTTAGACCGATTAACCGGTTCGGTTTGGTTTCTAGTTTTTTTTTTTTGCATAATTGTTAATAATTCATTGTTATATTCGATCATACACAACATAGCGACTAGGACATTCAATATTGATATTAATTAGACACATGTTAAATATAAACAAAAAATGGGGAATATTGCCATAAAAAAAATTGCAATTATCCAGAAAATCTCAGGCCTATTTATTTTATTATTTTTGTCTTATCTTATTTTTATCTTACCTAAAATACATATTTGTTTTCAGATGTTTAATTACATTTGGTCATCAACGACAACCAAATATATGGTCGTCGTTGACCATCAATGAAGATCATATCTTTGACCATCATTAACAACCAAATGTGGCCATTAACGATCAAATCTGACTGTAGATATAACATTTTCCAACCAGATCCAAGGTGAATCTGACAAAAAAAGCTAGATCGATGCACTAATAACCAGATCCAACCAGTAGTGTGCTATTACACCAGATTCTAACCACCTTCCAATGGTGGTGACCGAAATCTAGCAAATGTGGATAAACGGGAGTGTGTTTGTCAATTTCTAAACTTTTTATTGTAAGAGTATTTTGATTAATTTTCAAATATTACCTTGAAATAACAACCCAACTCAATTTTTCCAAAAATCTTACTCAAAATAATAAAACAAACACAACCTCAAAAATTTCCGATAACATTATCAGAAAATATTGTAAATTACTCCACTAGTAAAAATGAAAATTGTAAAAGAAATATTAATATGATAAATAATCATCTAAAGATTATGAAAATCCCATAAAAGAGAGGCACTGAGGCTTCTTCATTTATGTAGCATATGAAAACATAAAATTTATGGAGAAAAACAGATAAAAAAAACTACAAAAGAGAAGTTAGAGGTGGGTTTGGGTTCTCAATTATACAGTTAAATTTACAACTCTATGTTTTACAATTTCAACTATCTTGTTGCCCAACTTAATTGGGCAGACCAATGCTTCCTTGTTTACTCAATATCTTTTACAGCATCCTGCACCATCAAAATATTCAATAACCAGTTATTGCACAAGGGAATGAATGTATATTACTATGCAACTTATGAACAATACAAATTTTAAAGGGAAAAAAAAGGCCAACGGAACTTTAAAAGATATGTAAAAACAGCAGAATCTAATTCGTTTCTATTCATTCACGGATTAATTGCTTGGAATAAAATATCTTAGAAAATCAAATTGCTACTAGTAACATATTCGTTGGGTGCCGATATCTTAGTTGGTAAGGTTTCTTGTGATTGTGCAAAAGCTTTATAGTATCTATTTCTGNCCAATAACATTATCAGAAAATATTGTAAATTACTCCACTAATAAAAATGCAAATTGTAAAGAAAATATTAATATGATAAATAATAATCTAAAGACTTTGAAAATCCCATAAAAGAGAGGCACTGAGGCTTCTTCATTTATGTAGCATATGAAAACATAAAATTTATGGAGAAAAACAGATAAAAAAAACTACAAAAGAGAAGTTAGAGGTGGGTTTGGGTTCTCAATTATACAGTTAAATTTACAACTCTATGTTTTACAATTTCAACTATCTTGTTGCCCAACTTAATTGGGCAGACCAATGCTTCCTTGTTTACTCAATATCTTTTACAGCATCCTGCACCATCAAAATATTCAATAACCAGTTATTGCACAAGGGAATGAATGTATATTACTATGCAACTTATGAACAATACAAATTTTAAAGGGAAAAAAAAGGCCAACGGAACTTTAAAAGATATGTAAAAACAGCAGAATCTAATTCGTTTCTATTCATTCACGGATTAATTGCTTGGAATAAAATATCTTAGAAAATCAAATTGCTACTAGTAACATATTCGTTGGGTGCCGATATCTTAGTTGGTAAGGTTTCTTGTGATTGTGCAAAAGCTTTATAGTATCTATTTCTGTTAACACACGGGATCAAACAAAGTTGGTTTAAATTTGTGGAGGAAAGGATAGACTTAAGAGAGACAGAAAAAGAGAAAGTAATACATTTTTGGTCGTAAATGAAAACCTGAGAACAGCGTAGAATTACCTTGGCAAGCCGCGTCACATAAGCTGCAGCCAAGGCTGTGAACAACAGTCCCAGGCCGAGAGTCAATAGCTGACCATTTCCTCCACCACCGATGGCAATTTCAGACTCTTCTTGCTGCAAGTAACGAAAACAAATTATTGTAAGTTAAACATCATAGTCAGCCAACCTATCGTATACACAAAATCTCATTCATGTTGCATGATCTTATAAACCTCAACCTTTTAACTTAAATCAGGTGTAAGATTAAATTTAATACACAAGTCAAGCAAGAGATTTGAAGAGAATGAATATGCAAAACCATAGTTTGCATTTCTTTTTCACAAGGTTGGAAGAGGGTGCGAGATAGAATAAGCATAGAACGTGAAAAAGGACAGTTACAGGGTGCAGTGGTAGTTTTGTACAATGTTAAGGTCCTTATTGTCACAGTTGTCCAACGGAGGGAAAATTTATAAGGACTAGAAATAATCTTTAGATATATAATCACACATGAAATAAACAAATCTATCATAAGATGACAGTTACGACATAAAAAAGAAGAATAATTAAAGGCATATTTATTACTAATTCAAGTCCTGTCACTGACATCTGAAACTGAATAGAGAAAGTGCCAGTTTTACTCATCCGTTACGTCGCTAGTTCTTGTCCCCTTTCTGACCACGAAAGTGCCAGTTTACTCAAAAGACAGTTTAGTATAAAAATCTAGTTTTCTGTGGTTGGAAAACCTAGCCAACATTTTGATCCAGCTCTACCCAAACTTCTCTGGTTCACCCCAACATTCCCCACTTGTCCAACGAAGAAAAAATTTATAAGGACTAGAAATAAACTTTAACTGTATGATCACACATGAAATTAACAAGTCTATAATAACATGACAGTGACAAACTTACAATAATTGCTCGCCCAAATGCTCCAGCACTCACATAAGCCCATGTTCCTGGAAGCATCCCCAGCCAGCTGCATGATAAAAGAAATTAATCAGGATGAGGACATCATTTTTTAAATGGTTCTAATTTTTCTTCCATAAGTTCAGATGTAATGCATAACATGGCCGATGAGTTCATTATATAGATCAAGTCACTTGACTCGGACACCAGGCTAACACATTCAACAGTCTAATCAAATATAAGCTTGCAATTGTTTTTAGACAATTCATTGGCAAATACCAAATCTCTTATAATTTTTGTTCTGATAGATAGAAGTTAATTCACGAAACCTTTTTGTCCATTTATGAAAAAGAAGAAGATTGAATAGAAAATCCTGAACAAATTTGAAGGTCTGAAAGAATACTTCTTAAGTTCTGGGACTCGTTTTATTATAGGGCAAGAATAATTCTAAATGAAAAACTAGAAACGTTGTTTGATAAGTTTTGAACAGGAAATATCCGGCCAAAATGATATAACAGCAGCAGTCTGCATTCCGATAAATAACATTTAGTGCAAATATAATCCAGTTTCTGAAAACCACTTGGGAGCACAAGAGAAAGATTAAAAGAAGCCATGACAACAAGACACCAACAGGGTAAAAAAATCACACCACAAACATTATTAGTTTACAATCTTCAAGCATAATTTATTAGTAAAGAACAAATCCATATAGGCAGCAGATAACAATAAGTTATAGAGCATAGCAATTCATCTTAAAAAGAGTAAATTAGATATGCTAAGAGCATTGAACAATGACATTAACAATGTAACAACAAAACTAGGCAAATAAAAGGATGGACAGTAGTCTGACCTTCCCAGAACATACGGAACGAACTTTACAGATGTCAATCCATATAAATAATTTCCCAGGGAAAATGGAAGCAAAGGACTCAAACGAAGAAGAGTGACAACCTTGAAGCCGTTTTCTCCAATTGCTTTGTCAATTGCAAGAAATTTTTTATTTCCTTCAACTAGCTTAAGAATTCGCTCACGGGCAAAATATCGGGCAATTAAAAAAGCAACACTTGCTGCCACCTAATAACAATAAGAGATTATAAGAATCAGTGTTAAAACACATGGTCATCATTCCATTATTTATACAATCGAAAAGGCCAACTCACCGTTCCACTGATGGATACTATGATGGTGCCAATAACAGAACCAAATAGAAGTCCAGCTGACATGGTCAATGGAATGGCAGGAATGGCAAGGATCTAGAAGATCGTATACTATTTAAAATCAGTTTGAGCAAAGAAAATGATTATATACTGATTTCAAACATGGAAAAGAAAACAGATAGTATATTAAAACCTCTGCAATATATTACACGATAACCATAGTACAGATGACATTGCAGGTCAGAGTGACTAGTCCATGATGAACAAATTGATTTTCAGCCCTTTATCAACTTGAGATCATGACAAAGAACAACTAAATAAGCTATTTTTTTTTTCCTATTTCTCATGAACAATCTAAATGCCTAAAGTTATTTGTAATGTACATTTATGATCAGAAGTAATACAAATGAACAAAAGATTACACAAGTCGTAATCTGTGACGACTAAGAAAAACAACAAGAAATGATTACTCAACTCATAATATGTGATGACAAAGAGAAACAAACTTAATATGCTATTTTTTCCCATTTCTCATGGATAACCTAATCCCCAAAAGTACCTATATTGAATATTTATGATGAAAAGTAATCCAAATGAACAACATAAGCCTGAATCCCAAACTTTTCCAAATGCATACCTCCAAACCTGCATACACTGCCACAAACAAAGCATATCCAGCAGGGCCATAACCTGTCCATTAAAATAAACGTACATCATAAAAATGGGGAAGCAAAGTTCTTCTGTAAAGGAAATATTTAAAAGGCTACTAACACCAGAACAAATTACATTTCTGTTTAAAAGATGCTTCCACCAAGGACCATAAGGAAACTAAGTTATAGGAGTTCAAATGGAATTTTAAATCCAAACTAGAATGTTCCTTGTCTGCACAGAAGTTTTGCACACAGAAGCAGCAAAAACTTTTTCATAACATAATGACTGGAAAGTTTGTCTCATAAGCAAAATCAAGTTTGCAGACATATATCAAAAGTACACTCCAAAACTACATAATTTGATATTTTAGAGCATATTTAGCATGAAATTCTAGTTTCCTTTTTCTCCACTTAAAAAAGGCAAGAATTCTAGGTTGCCATACAATCAGGTCATCCTCCAATGGTCAGCTACTCCAAAATTTGATTGAGTTTGAGTGATAAGGACCATAAGGTGCACAAGGGAAGCAACCAACTTTAGCTTTTTTATATATAAAAGAAGTTCCCAACTGTTTCCATTTTCCATGTTTTCCAATAAAAAAGAACGTCACAAGGTTGCCACAACTCAGCAGTTGAACTCCAATGTTAAGACTAATGGAAATTCTTTTCAGGGAGTGGGGTGTTAAAATTCACCAGAAAGTTCTCATGACCATTTTGATATTTGAGTTTTCTAAGAGACCTGTCTAAAAATTCAGCCGAAAATCCAACAGTTATACCACGTATAGGTTAACAGGAGCTTGCATTTCGAAATCCTAGCACAGCAGTACAATCAAAATATTGCCTTTGATATAATTGTACCTTCTTCTGTTAGAACTAAATTTCACTTCCTAACATTGGCATCAAAATACAGCTGACGCTTCACATTCCACAACCCTCAAATAGAGTAAACAACCCTAAAGGATATTCTCCAATTTGACCTCATTTTGCTAAAAAATTTAGACCATTCAAAAACTAACATGTTATGCTTTTTCTGAGACAAACTTTTATGCACTGTAATTTACATGCCAATAACCTACCCACAAGATACATACAGATGCATGCAACAACAAATTATGAATGCCGACTTTCTTGAACCCAAAAAACTTACTGGCATCATTTCAACTACATGATAAAATAATTTAGATGGAACCAGTTTCAATAGATTCTCTCATCAAAAGCTTTAAATCCATATTATTTGCTTAAATTTTGGATGAAAACCGACCAAGATGTAGGCACGAATGACTCTAACCTAGTTAGAGCACCTAAACCATGACAAGCAAATGGCAAAGAATCTAACAGAACACTTGTCATTTTAAGTCAGTGCCATCACAGAGGGTCAAAGCCCCAGAGTCTACCACAGAACCAAAAAAATTCAGGCCAGTTCCATTTAGCCCAACCTAAAACCAAATTCCCAATTACCATATAACCTCTTATTTCTCTCTCAACAATCTCCACCAATGTCCACTTCAAACTTCCCGTTATGACACACTCATTAAATTCCACAGCAACATCAATACCAAATTTTATAAAATGACCAATTCAACCACCGGAATTTTCACAATTTAAACATCCAAACAAGGTCAAAAAAACTAACGAAATTGACAAAATTGAACCCAAATAAATAAACATACCAAAAAAGAACCAAACTTTCAATACCAATCAATAAAAACCACAAAAGGGTGTTAAAAAGCGAACTTTACCTTCAATAAACCCAGAAAACTGGTTCAAAAACGCATTGATCTGGTCCTTATAAATGAACCCAACGGTCCCAAATCCACCAACAACACCCACAAGTAAAACTCCCGCCAAAAGGGTACCTTTTAAAGCAGCATCACTCTCCAAGCCCTCTCCTTTACCCTTATCTTCGTCATCATCACCACCACCACTCTTGGGACTCAAGAGCCACTTCAAACTTTGAGGGGCATTCCTCTTCTGAAGGGTCTGCTGCTTCTTGGTCTGTTTCAGGGAGGAGCATGGCTTGAGGAAATGGAAGCGCTTGTGGGGCTTAAAGGAGTAGAGAAAAGAGTTGCAAGAAGGGGCTAAAAAGCAAGACGGAGAAGTTGTGGGGGGTTTGAAGTAGAGTGCGTGCATTGTGGGGTGGGCGGTGGTGGTGGAGTTGTGGTTGTGGAGAGAAGAGTGCCATGTAAATGAGATGATTGTGTGGGCTGTGATTTGTAACTTGAAGGTTCTGAGACTCACTGGTGGTCAGGGTAAAGCGATGGCATTGATAAGAAAATTGGTGATTTCGTTACTTGGAAAATGACGGAGTTTTTGTGCTACAGGGCTTTGGTTGTGCCACGTTGCTATTGGGGGTATCGACTTTTGTGAGGTTTGATTGGTTTCGTAATTTTGAGAAATTAATTTGTGATTTAGTTATGAAATTATTCCTTGGTGAAAGAAATATTTTTGATAAATTTTTATGAGATTATTCAAGTAAGAAGATAGATTTTTTTAACAAATGTTGTGAAACATAGGGTAATACATTGAAATTAATAATTTTGATTTAGAAATTTAACCAAAATTTGGGATTAGAGATTGGCNGATAAGAAAATTGGTGATTTCGTTACTTGGAAAATGACGGAGTTTTTGTGCTACAGGGCTTTGGTTGTGCCACGTTGCTATTGGGGATATCGACTTTTGTGAGGTTTGATTGGTTTCGTAATTTTGAGAAATTAATTTATGATTTAGTTATGAAATTATTCCTTGGTGAAAGAAATATTTTTGATAAATTTTTATGAGATTATTCAAGTAAGAAGATAGATTTTTTTAACAAATGTTGTGAAACATAGGGTAATACATTGAAATTAATAATTTTGATTTAGAAATTTAACCAAAATTTGGGATTAGAGATTGGCCAAGTGAAAGTAATAAATGCTATTTTGCTGCTGTAATTAATTAAATCCTTTAAAAATTTTATATTAAGATAAATAAATGGTTACATATTCCAATATTGTTCCAAGTCGAAATTTAAAATTAAGCGATCATGACCCAAAATTATGTTTTCTCTAAATGACTCTTCAAACCTCAAACTATTATAAAGAGTTTATTCACAAAAATAAGAGTCTAAAATACTCTGTATCTTTAAAATATAAATTAAAGAGTAAATTTGATTTTCTGTATTTAAAAAGTCAAATTTCACTCTATATCCTAGTTTTAATTAATAAACTATAAATTCTTATGTATTTTATTTATTAATTATCTCTCCATTAGGTCTCTTTCCTAAAAATAAAAAACATCTTCATTAAATTTAAAGAGTCTATTAGATTTGAATAAAAATTATGTTTTTATCTCTGTTTTAAAACTCGAACCAAACCGACCAGTCTGACCAATTCGATTGGGAGCCGTCTTTTACTTCGGTCTGTGTTTACATAAAACTGGGAATGTTAATAAACCCGTTTTGAACCGGTAATAGATGATAAAACAGTATAAAACCGTCGAACCGGCTCGAGGCTTAAAACGGTTCGTCTAATTCAAAAAAAATCATATTTCTAAACTAATTTTAGCACCGTTTCATTATCTTCCATTTTCATCTTCAACTGTAAAGAAGAAGTAAAGGGAGGGGAAGGGAAGGGAAGGAAGAAGAAAAAGAAGAGAAGACATGAGAAAGAGTAAGGAAGAAAATTAGAAGAAAGAAAAGAGGAGATGAAGAGAAAGAGAAGGAAGAAGAAAGTGAAGAAAAATTACGGTAGAGGAAGAAGAAAGAGACGAAGAAGAAGGAGGAAGAAGAAAGAGAGAGAGAAGAAAGAGGAAGAAGAAAGAAGAAGAAAGTGACGGGGAGTGATGGGGGAGAGAGAGAGAGAGAAAAGGAAAAAGAAAAAAATTGATGGAAAGTGATGGCGTGACAAGGAGAGAGAGAAAAGTGGAAGATGGAAGTGATAGGAAGAGAGAAAAAATAATTAATAATAAAACTTGAGGGTGTATTTACTTTATTTTAAACGCACACAAAGGTTTATACGTAACTTTTAGAGATGTATTTGTTAATTTTCAAAATTATAATAATTAATAGAATTATTTAAAGATGAGACTATTACATATCGATCAGACCAACCGTTCCAATCGGTTGGACGGGTTAACCCACAAACCAACCCTTTAACCGGGTCAACGAACGATCCAATTTTTAAAACCATAATTTTTATATTTAAAAATTAATGAATATGTTTTTTATTTATATACTCTTCAAAATAAAGAGCACCCTTAAAAATGCTCACAAGCTCTTCAAATGAGCCCTCGTAGAATTTTCAATAAGGATGGTGATTTTTTAGTAAGAATGAGATAATCCNGATAAGAAAATTGGTGATTTCGTTACTTGGAAAATGACGGAGTTTTTGTGCTACAGGGCTTTGGTTGTGCCACGTTGCTATTGGGGATATCGACTTTTGTGAGGTTTGATTGGTTTCGTAATTTTGAGAAATTAATTTATGATTTAGTTATGAAATTATTCCTTGGTGAAAGAAATATTTTTGATAAATTTTTATGAGATTATTCAAGTAAGAAGATAGATTTTTTTAACAAATGTTGTGAAACATAGGGTAATACATTGAAATTAATAATTTTGATTTAGAAATTTAACCAAAATTTGGGATTAGAGATTGGCTAAGTGAAAGTAATAAATGCTATTTTGTTGCTTTAATTAATTAAATCCTTTAAAAATTTTATACTAAGATAAATAAATGGTTAGATATTCAAATATTGTTACAAGTCAAAATATAAAATTAAGGATTATGACCCAAAATTATGTTTTTAGAGCATTTTTAAAGAACTTTTTATATGATTTAAACTTTTTATTTTAAAGAGTTTATTTATAGAAACAAGAGTCAATCTGACTATTTATTCTTTAAATATAAATTAAAGAGTGAGTTTAACTCTCCACATTAAAAAAGTCAAATTTCACTCTCTATCCTAATTTTAAATAATAAATTACAAATTTCTGTGCATTTTATTTATGATTTATCTCTTCTACTAAGTTTCTTTTTTTGAAACACATATTCTCTTTCCTAAAATTTAAAAAGTCTATTAGATTTGAAAAAAAAAATTGTTTTTTATATTTAAAAATCAATAAAGATATTCTTTATTTATATGAAAAATGCTTTTTAAAATAAAGAACAACTTTAATGCTCTTAACTAATTTTATTGACAACACAATTTAATAAATTTTAATATAATGGTACAATCCAAAACCTCTCTTCAACAAATTGCTTATCATATCATTTCATCACTCTTGTGCCCTTGAATTGACAGGCTTGAGTTATCTCTAATTCTCTTAATTTGTCTCTAAAAGTTGGGCATCGAAATGGATTTTTACATGATTTAGAATTATGCAAACCATAGTTACTTAACCAAACTTATCCATAACTTCTCATGTTATTCTTATTATAAAGAAACGATAAGTAGAATATTTATTCTATTTGCAAATAAGAAGATCTGACATTTATCAATTACCCAAAATACTAACTCGTGAAGTGATAATATTTACCTTTCATTAAAGCGACCCGACCCTCTCAACATGGGATCACAGCAAATCGAAATAATCCCCTTTTAAGATTTTTGTAAAGGAAATCAACCCCTAACCTCCCAGGATATTATAAAAGCAATGTTGGGAACCAACCGAAATTCCCTTTTTCACTTGGAAATTTCAAACTCACAATGCAATCCAGATTGAGCATTAAAACAGATGAGATATCTTGCATAAACTTGTACCAGTGTTTACTCATAAACTGCAAAAATGAATTTAAACTTATACACAAACTCTTCAAATGAGCCCTTGTAGAACTTTCAATAAGGATGGTGATTTTTTAGTAAGAATGAGATAATCCGCATACAATGGCTTATACTTTCCGCTACTAAACTCACACTGCTTTATAGAATCAAAGAATATATTATGAAAATGATAATCGCAATACTAATAAATTTAATAATTACCAGCATCAAGAGCTATTCTAGCAAGTCCATCGCAAGGTATACCTTCCGGTGTTTCAGCTCATAAAAATCCATTTACATGCCTACATATACCTGCAACACTGATTGCCGTTTATAAGTAAAAATACAGGGCAGATGTTCATGCTTAATCCTTTTGTCATTCTCTGTTGCCGATATGCAGATGTGAAGAGTAAATAATAGAATCTGAAGTAGAATTTCCTTTGACGGTAAGACAGTTGAATTCTGGTTTCTGAACAAAAGATGAGATGTTGTGAATCCAACCATTGAAACTAGCCTTCAGCGACTGAGGAGAGAGGAGCTCTGGCCTCTCATAAACTTCAACAGCAGAGCTTGCTGCAAGGTTGATCTGCAGAAATTGCAGTTAAAGACACATAAATAAAAAAATATATAATATTTTTCATCATCAGTCGTGCAAATCATTTAAATGTTGTATCTGTAGGTGATATCCATCAGTGTTGTTAGAGAACATTATTTATGTGAAGATGCATTAAATTACTGCTTACGAAATTAAGCTTTGGAAGCATATGGAAACAAGAAAAGCAACAAGAAAACAAGTATGCTGAATGCAAAGCACTTGCAGAATGGTTAAATGCCAAATTCATAAACACAAGGGTAGGAAATGAAAATGCAAAGGACTACATCACAAGAAGGAAAGATATGCACAGCGTTAATTCATGTCAACCATATAGTTATAACTACATATCTAGGCATGAACATGAAGTATCTTCAGAGAAAAGGGACAGGAGAACAGTTTATGTGGACAGAGGACTAAATGGATTGATAGTGGAAATGGTCACCATTATGATTTTATCCTTTTACCTTACCCACATGGCAAGCATACTAGACAGGATGGTTATACAGAGACTCTGTAACTTTACATTCACTTTCAAGTGGGTATTTGGCTAGAACTGGTCATAGGAAATCAAAGACCTGCTTAATTAAAAGAACAACAGCAGGAACAAAGAAAACGGAAAGAGAGAGGAAATGAAAGGAAGAAATAAAGCTCATTCATAAATGACAACAATGTATGACGAAATACAAACCTTCAAACTTTGTGAGAAGATAGAAAACCATTTATAGATCAACTGAATATGTGCATTTATGTTTTAAGACACAGACAATGTTTAAGGTCAAAGAACAAAAAATGTTGACCACACTTAATATTTGGTTTTAATTTTCCAAAAGCATCAGCTGCTTGATCCAAGTCCAACTGTGGACTTAAAAGCTAAATCCAATAGTATAAACATAATTTTAAATATATTTAAAAAAAAAAAATTCCAAACAGAGATGGAAAAAACTGTCAAAATGAATCAGAACATATGTTTTAAAATAGGTCAATACACCATATCTGCAACATTAGAGTAATCACGACAATGTCCAACAACTCCTCAGTATCATTATCAAGAGATCTAAACTATTTTAAATGCGTGCAAAGTCATGGAAGATGTAAAGTTTGAACAAAAAGATGCTAACTACAGGAGGTAGCGCCTAGTAAATTCTTTCTAGATAGCTTTAACTGGGGCATTAATTTCTTATAGACTAATCTAACATCATAAAATTCATGGCCAAAATTGATATTCAGAGAACTCTCAAGTATAACTACCACAACATGCATACAAATCTTATCAAAACAAACAATTAATCTAAGAAAAAAAGCAAGGAAATTTAACAAAGAACTTTTTGGTGAATAAACCACAAAAAAGTCCAATCAGGACCTACAAGGTACCCTCTTTAAATAAAAAAAAAAAAAAAACTTCTCTTCACCCATTTAATAATTGACAACTTATAGAAGTCAAGCTCATCCCATGTGAAAATTAAAAACAGCACAGTACAAAGTTAATAGAATGTTATAAACCAAATAAAATATAAAATTAGAAAAAGGAAGAATAAAGAATGAATTCTAACTAAGAAAAATCATCATACCGAGTCTGAAGCCGTTTTTAAGACAGCTTTTGCGATAGGCAATATGCAAAACCTTTTCAAAAGTAAGAGAAATAAACATTCATTAGTGAGTGAATATTTAGGCACTAAAAGTTATAAAAAGAAAAATTAGCTACACTATACTAAAATCACAGTAACAGCGTTAGAAAAATGTCTAGTTGATGACATAGAAAAGTGATGCTAATAGCATAAGATGTTGCTAATAACATTAGATTCAGCTAATAACAAAATGTAAAATTGAAAGAAAGGCAATTAACTTCAGTCAGTTTCATAAGCAACCAAAAAAAAAACAACCTTCTTGTAGTATTACTACTCTTAATAACCATATTGATGGTGTCGCTGAACAGTTGACTTCTATGAAATTCTCTTTCCAGTCTTTCAGGCTATGAAACCAAGCGACAGGTCAGTAACCCAGGTAAGGTTACAAATGTTGGAAGATCAGATTGCATGTAACAAGTGTTGAAACATCTAACTGTATTCAATTTGCAATGTGCACTAGCCACTCAATAGCATGGAAAAAGTAACATTGTGCGTTAATAAAGTGAATTTATGTTACAATTCATATTCCATAATTAATTGGAAGTTGAATATTACAAGCATGACATTACTATTACTAAAACTCATTTAACTCATTCATGTTGCCTGATCAAATCCAGGCCTATACGTATCTCCACTACTGGGATTTTACATGCCACTTTCATACTACAATCCTTGAAAACAGCACTAAAAGCCCACATGTTCTAACTTAATTTAAAAATTAAACCCTAAATCATCCTAAAGTATTGATTCGGTAATGTGCAATGGCCAGTCAATAACGTGAAAACACTAACATTGTGCACTGATATAGCAACTATATGTTACAATTCATATACCATTATCAACTGGAAAATATTTCAATTCTTACATTAAAATTAATAAATCTCATTGAACTGGTAACGTTACCGGATTAAAACCAGGACTAAACCTATCTCCATTACAGGGATATCATTATTTTAAAATGCCTGTTCATAATACAACCCTTAAAAATAACACTAAAAACCCACATGTTCTAACTTCTTTTACAAACTATAAAAATATAAATCTACTAAATTTCTCAACTTTTCTCTTCGATTCTCAGCAAACAAACAGCAGGGTTTAAAGAGAAAATCAACAAAAGAAAAGAAAACTCACATTCCTCGGCCTCCAGCGAGAGCTTCTTCAGATGGGTCCTTCCATTCATCAAACCTACAAAATCAGATTATTCGAAAATAAAAATAAAAAATTAACCCCATTTTGTGTAATGTATATTTATATAAGTATACAATGAAATTGAGATATAGAGAGAGTGAAAGAAGGAAAAGATATTTACACCCAACCGTAGCGGCGGTCGAACAAAAGTCGTTTAGAAGATGATTGAGAAGGGGCAGAGACGCCTTTAGAGGCTTTGGAGTTTGCTGAATCCATTTCTATTGTCTTCTTCCTTCAGAATTTTGAGTCTGTTTTAACGAAGCGAAGTAACGAGAAATAACGGAGAAGAAGAAAGAGATAACAAAAAAAAAAAGAGAGAGAGGGAAAGAGATTTTCAGTTTATGGGCCTTGGAAGGCCCATAAACAAAAAAAAATATTGGCCTCGTGTAAGTACAAAATATTAAAAATGGTTTAAAAATTGCGTTACTTTCATCCGTCCTTGAAATATAGTTGAGACTTGAGGAGCGTTAAGACTCCAGTATCAACAATTTTCAAAATTATTAAAAATTTCTTAAAGTTACTAAATTTTTTTTTAAAATATATTAAAACGAATATCTATAAACGAAAAAAAATCTTCAATAAGAAAGATTAGATAGTTGAGCCTAATTATGGTTCAAATTTATTATGCCTGAAAAAGTAGAGCTGACGCAGAGTCCTGTCAGCACAGGCGATCAGAGCTTAGGTAAGTCATACAGTCATTTAGACGCAGCCATGTCGCACGCTGACACAAGCGGCATGCTTCTGCTAGTGTAGTGGGTATGGCCCAGACTGGTGAAAGGCTGAAGATGGTCCACGTGTTTAATCCCTGCACATGTTGCGTAAATCACTCGAGCAGATGAGCAACGGGACACAAAGAATGATTTGCACGGCAATCTGACCCACTCGCAGATTTAATAATCATTACCTTAACTCATCCCACTATAAATGGAGGGTTCCTCTCCCATTTGTGGGATTAACTAATTTTTCTCTGGAATATCACATATATATACTCTCTCTCTTGTAATCTCTTGTAAGTTTAGGGTTTAGAATTTAGGGTTTAAGGTATAAACCCTAAACCCTAATCTCTTGTAAGTCAGCTCGCTGAATGCGACCTGATCTCATATATTAATACAATACCAGTGGACGTAGGATTTGCTTATTTAAGCATCTGAACCACTTTAAACATTGCTCCCCATCCTTTATTCAGTTCAATACTTCCATACACGTGTGTCTTCTAAGTCAGCTCAACATTTCCCACGTGCGATTAGTTTGGGTCAAAATCAAGCATCAACAAAATTAAATATTCATATATAGTGAGACATCTCTATAGTGATATTCTATATATGAATAACTTTCATATAGTTATAAAAAAAATTAGTCATAATTTAGATCAATTATAAATGAAAATAAACTTCATTTTGTGATAAGTTATAATTTTTTATAGGTCATGTCTTAAGGAACTTGTCTTCACATAGTAATAATTATCTCTATATTGGAAAAAATATATTACATGTTATATTAAAGATTTAAGATAAAATAAAATATTTATCTAAAATTGTTTGGGACAATAACTTATGCTTTAGAGTTTTTATCACATCTTTGAACTTGCGGATACGTAATAACTCTCGGGCATGGACACCTTCTTGTTGAAGTCAAAATATTATCAAGTATGTTTATAGCTTACTAGAATGAAACTTTTTTGTATTTCGGTATTATCATTCTCAGGATTATCTATTTCATCTTCTTATCTAATTTAGCAATATTGGTTTCTTCTTCAGTTAAAGCATATATGATTTGTTGTTCATTTGAATGATTAAAGAAGACATTAATATTCATTTGATTAATGTAGTAAAGTTGTCGAATCTGATCACTCAATTCTGCAATGACTTTTTTATTCTCCTCATCAACTTCATTTGTAACTTGCAATTCATTGATATCAACGGTCCTAATTTTGCAGTGCTTAAAACAATTGGTAATTGTCTGTGACTTTATATCAATTGACCTTATAGTAACTACATTTACAATTTCATCAATGACACTTATCTTTGTTGGTTTCAAGACATGATCTTCTATCTATTTTAAAAGTACACGATTAAAGCGTTGACGATAATAACCTTTGAAATTTCTAATGATGCCTCCATCACACGACTTGATTTTGGAAGTATTATTTGGTGGTAGGAACAAAGCAGTTGTGCGATGAAGTGGGGGACATTCTCCTTTTTGCCATGTGCAGTAAAACGGGCCAATGTAGATCTTTGAACTTGCACCAAGAATAACTAAGTCAAAACAATAATTTTGTAACTATATCACTATTAAGTTATAATCTATACTTGTTTGATTCTACTATTAGTTTTATTATACCATTATGACTATAAAAAGATTTTATTGTACTTATTTTTAGTTGATACTATAGGAAACATAATATAAAATTAAAAAATTTAATAGAATTTGCACTTAGAAAATGGATTTATAAAACACTATTGGTTAAAAATAGTTCTACTATCTTAATATGGCAAAGCTTATTCTATTTGCGTAAAAAATATGTTCTCAATACCCATTTTTTAATATTTTTTATGCATTAATATTTAAATTTATTTAGTTTTTTTTTTTTAAATTATAAATTTTTTCGTTTAATATTTCTCTTTTATACTATCTTGCCAATCAAAAGATTATTTAAAGTGAATTGATAATTGATGTAATTTTTATGCATCAATTCTCACATTGTCTTATCATCGGATATAAAAAGAATTTTGAAAAAAAAAAAAAAAAAAAAAGGTTATTCTTTTTTCATTTTTTCCCCTTTTTAGCATTTTTATTATTTCATTTTGTTAAAAATATTTTGGACAAAAGTTATCAACACGGTCTTAAATTTTAAAAATCAAATTCATTTTTTATTTAAGAAAAAAAAACTTTGTTTTAGGTATTCTGTAAATACATAAACTTTAGGGCTTTGAGTTTTGCAGCACTACTATTTAAGTTGAGTTGAAACTAGAAGTCCCGCTTCACTTTCAAAATATCTCTCACTCTCAACAATTTTCATTAATTCTTTGAAAATGGCGCATCAAAAATCAAGCTAAGCGATCCAACGCCAGAACACATCACATTTCGCAAACTCAGGTTTAATTCTTTTGATTAGCTCCGTGATTGTTTGGTTTCCGAGAAAACGTATGTAATTTTATTTTCTCGGCAGCCAAACAAGAAATACAAGAAATTCGATTTCATTATTTTTATATTTTCATTAGTCTGAAAACGCAGAATAAAGAAATCAAAATTAGTTTCGAAGCTTCTCGTAAACGGATTTTTTTTTTAATTTTTCTTTTTGTTTGAAGAAACAACAAATTGAATAGTTTTTTTTTTCGAAAGAGAATGTGGTTATCTATTGATCTTTTTGTCTGAGAATCTCAAGAAAAGAAGAAATGATTAAGCGAAGAGATTAAGTGTTCGTTTTAAATACTTCAAATTTTAATTTTTTAGATTTCATTTTAGGTAAAAAAAGTTGATTTTTTTTTTTTTTTTAATACTTCATTATTTTAATTTTCAGAAAGAGGTTTTGAGTGCTTTCACATAGAGTACTCTATTTCGAAAGTGATTTCTAGTAAGTACTCTTTGGAAAGTGCTTTTGTAGAAAGTACTTTATTCAAAAGTACTCAAAGAATGTTTTCTACACAAACATAGGAAGGAAAAATTTATAAAGGTACTAGATAGCTGTTAATTGGTTACTAGATAGTATTGAAGTTACAGTTAAGGTTGATTTGATACCGCAATGCGAACAAGGATGTGAAAACTTTGAGCTCTGCTCTGTCTTTATTTCGTTATTTAGTCTTTCTCTGTGTGTATCTTTAAATATGAATTTGTTTCATTGATATAAGTTGACCTGCATAACAGAAAATTTCTTTTGTAAGGTTTACTCACAAGTTGCTTTAAGAATTCCAAAAGAAAACTTTTTTATATTCATTCAGCTTCTTGCTACATGTGTATGAGACACTAATAGAGATATGCTTTAAATGTTTGTCGGTAGACTTCACTGAGTTGAACTAAGTTATGTCTCTGATACCTTAGGGTGTGTATTTTATACAATGTCAATCTCATGTTCTGTGTTTGATTTCTTCATTCAAACTGTGAAAGACGAAAACATTGATATCATTTGTATAAAGTTATATTTACATCATTGGGGATGGATTATTTGGATGCTGATAATAGCAGGCTACACTAAATACTTGTTCAAAAATCTTTACTTGTTACATGTATGTCTTCCTGAAATGATGGTTTCAGTCAGTAGTATTTTGTGTTTGAAGGTGGTGCTGGAGTTTGTATGATGAGCAGCACATGGAGAGATGAACAACACCCATCATTCATCAATTTTATCTCTTCCTTCCTCAGTGCAAATTCTTTCCGCCTTAATTTTGTTCGAATAGCTCCTGTAATTACCTTCTCATTTTCCGTATGCATTTTGTTTTTAATTCATTTATCACTCAATTCTAGAGATTTTTTCTATAGGACTTAATTTTTAACTGTGGAGGTTTATCAATCTCATTCATCTTTGCAACAAACTGGAATTGCGACAATATTGAGCCAGTCTTTAGCAGGTAGTCTAGGACTTTTCCCTATTCAAGTTGTTTGCTATTTCATATAAGTTTGGTCAGGTGGAAATGCAATTAGCCCTTATTTGATCAGACTTTTGTAGAGTGAAGAAACTGAAGGAGCAGTTTGCTCATCTCTATGTTGTTGTCAGTCTCCCAACTAGAGACCAAAATGATTCTTTTGTTCGCTCTTACTTCAAGTGAGTTACCTGAACACAATGTTCAAGCTTATCTCTCTGTATTCTGATTCTTATTCTAAAATCCTGAATACCTATCTGCATTTAATGAAGATATAGTTTGGAACTTGGTAGACCAACATTTGTGCCAGTTCAAGACATAGAGATGGGATTTGAAAAGATTGTTAAAATAGCTCACTCTCGTGGAGGTATAGTCTTACTCTGTGAAGCTCGCTTCAGTTTCCATTCAGGTAGCTTATTGTATACCCGGTATTCTGCAGCATGCAAGCAGCGAGATGCCATATCAAAAATGAAGACTGAGGTTGGTGGAAGTTATTCACTTACTTGAACGTCTATTCTAGATTATTCATTAAATTCTTTTGTTCCTTCTATTGCATGTGAAGAGACGGCAATCAGTGCAGGGAATGGACATTTTCCTTGGAGTGGTCACATCCATACCATCTATAGATTATCATGATGCAAATGCGGTAATTTACTTTATTTTAATTCAAGCAACCTGTTCAATGCCTTCTTCCCATTTCAGTATTAGAAATCTTTTTGTTCTCCGCAAATGTGAGTTTGATCTAACTTTATAGAGTTACGTCATAAACTGTTGGTTATTTTGGTCATAATATGATGTTTACCACTGTTTGCTGCCATCTATTCTTATTTATAACCTGATAATATGCTGTTTCTTATTAATAACAAAATGTTGTAGAAAAACAAGTAAATTTTCAAAATTTCTTGAATTTAGTTAGTTTTAGAGCAAAATTTTTGACTTAATCCATCCCAGTGGGCAATATGAAAAATTAATAAAGAATGATATATTCATGATACAACTTCAAATATAATTTGCTTTCACTTACACAGGTTCTAAAATTTAGAAGCTCAGTCCAATTTCAAACAATTTGAAGCCTTTTTTTGTCTTGACTTGACATTCATTTCATTTTACAGTTCTGAATTTAGATACGATTAAGTAATAAATTATTGGTTTCTGTGAGCATTCTGAGTTCATATACATGCATGGAGGAGGTTTTCTGGACACAAAGTCACAAACATGTAATCAATGAACCATAATTGTTCATAAAGTTCGTATTTTACAAGCATTCTGATAAGTCGAATCTTGCATTGCACAATATCCAGTTCGACAATGGATATTGTCAACAATACTGCGAATTTTAAATCAATCAATAGCTTGTAAAATTTTGGCAGTGTAGCTATATTTTGTGACCATACTCAAAGATGAATTCCTGTTCAAAATGATAACGCCTTCTCATTCTTCTCTTTCAGCTTAATCAAGCTATTGGTTCAATTGAAGCAATTGCTAAAGCATCAAAGGAATACATTCTAGAGAACACAGACCTATCAGCAGACAAGGCTGAAATGATAGTCAGGTTCTTCAGAGATCCAAAGTTTTATCTCAATCCGAAAATCAATTAATGCTTCTCAAACATTTATTATCTCTCATGATTTTTTAGCAGTTTTTGTTGCTAGTTTAGCCTGATATGTGCTGCGAGGATTATAGTGACATGATTGCAGGTTGTTTGATTAAATACTTCCTTTGGAATGTATGTAGATAGAAAGAGGCATTAGATTTAGAATTTAGAATTTCTATATAAAACGTAGGTAAAAGTGTTCTAAATGCTCGTATTATATATGCTTTCAATGATGTCAAAACAAAATCATTCTCAACTATGTTTGGAATTTCACAGTATTAATGATATTTCAGACTGGAAATTCAAGATTTGACTTTGGAGAGGTACAGGATATTAGTCTTTTTCTTTTATATATATTTTTTAGAATTCAGACTATAAGAAAATGAGGTCCATTACACAAGTCTTAAGTCTAAGAACATCCATTAATACAACTCTTTTACTTCAGATACTTACAATATGTCCCAGAAGATGATCATGAATTAAAAGTTGTCCTAGCATTGGTGATTCGTACTTAGCTGAACATGTTATATTCATTAACAGTAAATAAAGCTCTGTCGACAAGAAAGTAATTAGAGTAGAACTCTGATCGATAACAAATCAATGCAGGATAAGTTGGTACAAATAAAGCTCTGTCAAGCAATAAATTTAGCATGATTTGAAAATTTTGTACAAGAATTGATTTCCTTCTACACCTCCACAGAAAACAAAAATTAGCCCACTGGAAAAAATCTTCTGAAATCTGATATACTAACCTCCTAATTTATCATGCAAAATTGTTTCAATTCTTTGGCGCAAATTTATTCACCCGTAATCTTCCTTCGCTTAAAATTCTCATGAATCTCTGCCAATTAAGGACAGTTCGTCACAAACTTTTGAAGATTGATTACCATGACTGTAATATCATCCATGTTGCCTCTGCTAGAAGATATCTCGATAAGCTTTTTGCAAGACTCTAATGAGTTATTGTCTCTTGAAACCACATCTACTGCCTCCTGTTCATTTACCTGATTAATTCACACAAAATTCATCAACTTGTGCTCTTAAATATATCATAGATAAATTTAGGAAACCAAAAGTCTTAAGCACAGTGTTTACATTTTTTTTTTCTTTTTTTTTTTTTTCAAATTTGATATCTTAGCTTCTAGTGCTTTAGTTTTAGGTAAACTTCATTCACTTTCGTTAGGCAAACACCTTTTTTATTAGTGAAATGTCTGATAAATTTTGTGAAACTTTGAGAGAGATCTTTGACAATTTGAAGGAAGGTTACGAAGTTTTTTTGATATTTTTTTAAAACCGTTAAGAATTTGTCAAAATTTTAGCCAAATCTCGAGAGAATTTTGGTGTTTTTTTATTTTTTAATTTGGTTTTGATGTTTTATTTTTAATTATGTTTACAACTTTTTTGTGTAAATAATTACATATAAGCAATTCAGCATACCTTATCCCACAATCCATCAGAAGCCATAATCAAGAACTCACAATCTGAAGTCAATGGAAGACTTCTAATTTCTGGTTCAGAAATGATCCATTGTTTCAAATGCAAATCTCCAATAGATCTAGAAACGGCAAGTGTACCTTGAACTCTCCAAACTCCATTACAATTATGCACAAAACCACCCTGCAATATATGTTAAAACTTAATAAGTATTGCAATTGATACAAAAACAATCCAATTCTATTGACAAAAAAAATTTACAGATTGAAGAACTAACTGCATTCTCAATTCGAAGTCGTTCATCTTCCCGGTTTAGACGATGATCCATTGTCAAAGAATTAGCTATTCCTTTCCTACTCAAAACTACTCTACAATCACCAGCATTTGCTACATGTAACTCACCATTCTTCAATAGCACACTAGCTGTACAAGCTCCGCTACTAACTCCCTGTAAGTGAAATAAGATCCCATATGAATACACAAAATAAACGTTTTTTTTTTTAATGAATATTACACAAAGTCAGACTGTGAAATTTATCTGTCTCCCCTAAGTTTTCAGTTTTTTATTAAACTTCATGAAACTTCAGTATTTTGCTGATTTTAATTTTAAAAATGTATCTGTCAATTTTGAAAGTAGTGGGATCGCTGTTACGTAGTGAACCAGCAAGGTCAATTAAATGTTCGACTCATAATATTTTACAAAGAGTAATACTGTATCAAGAAAAACTGAAAAACAAAACGCACATTCAAGACAATGCATATGCCAAAAAAACTTGTTTATGTATGTTATATGTAATAGAAAATTTACTCATATATTAACCAAAATTGATAAGAATATTGAGTATTGAATTAAGCAACAATGTGAATGCTTGTTGAAAACGGTGTAATTAATTAATCTTGTTAAAGACCAAGTCAATTTTTGTACACGCTTTTCAAAAGAGTGTTGAACTTTTCAAAGTTTACCTTACTAAGAAACTCTGTGTCTGTGATCTGGTAACCTTTCCGAATTGCATCTTCTAATTGTAAATTTTTTTCCCCATCATTTCCCAGCTCTTTCACTATGTTTCTTCCTAAATTTTCAGCCACGTAATCTGCCGCGGCTCGGCCGCCATGCCCATCAATTACAGCGAAAAATGCCTGGTGAAACCATATAGGTAATATTGTTATTCCAAACAAAACAAAAAGTATGTAAAGGAAAGAATTCAAACTACTAGTACTTGAATATTAAGTTAGATTATCTAATGCTTAGGTTAAAGAAAATTTTTAGCACCAAAATCGTAGAAAGTATAAGAATTTTACTGTATTGGGTACATTTAAAATGATATTCATGCATCAAAACTTACATTATGCACCGATTTTTGCCCTTTATAAGACTCTTGGACACCAAGAAATTAGAGTTTGAAACGTGATATACCTAGTTTTAGTTGCATCCAAAGTAGTCAGATTCTTATTGTAAAGACTATAGAGAGATTATTGTAAGTTAAATTACCTGTTTAGGATCTCCAAGAATATCAACCATGACTCCATATCCATCTTCCATAACCTCTCTTCTTCCTTTCTTACTAGCCAAAGTGAAATCTTTTCCTTCAACCTCAAACTCTTTCCTTTCCAACTTGTTATTCCTCTCTATTTCACTCTTCAATCCCAAGTTTGCACAATTCTCAGGCACAACAAGCCTCGCCGGCCTCTTCCTCAACCTTATCGCTCCTTTTCCACTACTTGCAGAAGCAGCAACTGACCCCTCACTCATAATAATAATAATTTCTTGCACAACTTTCCCATCTAAAACACAGGAATTTTCTTGAGGGTTTTTGTCATGAAAATTCTGCTGAGAATTTTTGTCATCATGCAAAGTTTGTGTAGCTTCTTCAGAAAGTATAATATTATGATTCTCTTGCCGGATTTCTGAATCCAAAGAAACCAAAGAGCCAGCTGCTCCTTGTTGGAGAAAAAGCTGGCCGACCCAGGAAAGAGGATGAAGAGAAGGAGAAGAAAGAGGAGAGTTAAGGCTTAGAGAGGCCATGGCTATGGCCTTTCTGAGACCACGGAATAAGTAAATAACAAGAGAAACAATGGAGAAACCCCATAGAAATTCATGCAAATCTAGCATACTTTTGACAAAATTGTTTTGTTTGTGTGATGCAGTACTACTTTTCAGCATGACTATATATAAAAGGTGTGATTCATACAACAAAAAAAATTTAAGTTAAATATTCGATAAAAGAGTTTTCAAAAGGTAGAAGAAAAAAGTGTTGTGTTGAGAGAGAAGAACAATGTTTTGGTGATGAGAAATGAAGTTAATATTGTAACATAACGTGTCAAAGGGGACGATTAAGGCAGGCTATTTATTTCGCTGCATTGAACTGTGCAGAAGACTTGTATGTTACTAAAATATGCATTACACCACATATCATCTAGACCCAGGCGGTTCGAGTCAACATCATTCGACACCTCTATTATTAATATGCTGTGTTAATTTAATTTACTTTTGTTTTTTTTTTTTTGATGTTTTTGATGACTAGGGGTGTTCGGACTACATTACACGCATCTTAGCTAATCCCTTAGGATTCTAGAATTATCGACTGGATAAGAATACTGATGACTACCCCTATTAGTAAGTAGCAATTAAAGAGGGACTCGAATTTAGGACCTCTTGAGAAATACATCCAAGAGTCTCTATCGAACCACTCGATCACCCAGAGATAATTAATTTAATTTTTGACTATTAAAGAATTTTTAGTAATACCATTTGCCCATTAGATTTTTAAAATAGTAACTTACCCTTTGGGAGTTGATTGTATTAAGAAAAATTAAAAGGGGCCAAAGTGATGTTTTTCCAAAATATTAAGTATTAACCGTGATATTTAATTAAATTTGACAAATTCAAAGGCAAGTGGAAGGGGTCTGATATGACAAATTCTCACCCAAATCTGGTAAATATTTACCTAAGCAGGAAATTAACAATTAATTGACTTGGTTAACAATGTTATGTTATGAGATTAAGTAATTTTTTAATTAATATTATTAGTAGATTTTTGGAGTTTTAGTTTGTCAGCCTGGATCCTTTCATTTGCTTAATACATCAATTATTATTCCATTTTTGACCAAATCTTCTGCGTGCTGCCTTTGTAAAGTTGTCTTTTTATATAGTATTTTGAGTTTTGACTCTAATTTAGCAGGCTACAACTAATGATTCACCATTTTTGAGATTAAATTAAAGCTTAGTATGCATCAACCTTACATTTTAATTCATATTTTGACACCTAATTTCATAGGATTATCCAAGGATGCACATTAAAAGAATGATTCTTATTGTTAATATATTTTTAAAAGATTAAAAATACTATAAGAATAATATTATATATATAATCGATCTTTGATCTGAACTATTTTAGTTTTTTATGAAGTGTGTACCAATGATCAACGGTTAATTATTGGTTTTAAAAAATACAAAATCAATATTTATATAAAAAAAATTTGATCAAGTTGTGAAAATAGTGTAAATTATCAATAAGCTCCTTATATAGATTATGTAATAGTTGATGCATTCATTTCTATACTTATTTATAATTTTTTTCCATAAGTTTAACATTATCTAATGTATTTAATTTGGGTAGGTGTATCATTTATATGCCCAAAATAAAATATTAATTACAATATATATTAAAGATTTCTCATGTTTTTATTCTTTATTTTTTTCCTTGTAAAATGACTTTCATGTTTTATTTACATGCTTTTATTATCTATGTTGATTCTTAAAAAAAGAAAACAAACACGTTTTCATTGTTTTCATTTTCAAATATTACTTTTAAAATATGTTAATGAAATAGTTTTTTAATTTTAAAAATAAAAAAATCAAACTTCTTATTTTAGAAATTATTTAAAAAAACTAAATAATAAACACCACCCAAATTTTTATCTATCGAATGTCAATGAACTTGCTTTATAACCAACCCAACGAAGTTCATTATTAACACTATTTAATTTTGTCAAAACCCAAACTTACACAAAATTTCAATATTATAAGTGGGCTTAAGTTAAATGGGCCCAAAATTTTGTATGAATCTCTTTCTATACTCATTTGATGTATCTAATTCAATGGGTCAAACCTTTCCTAATACATAAATTTTTAGCCATTTATTCATTTTTCTTTTCATATATTTTAAAAATTATAAAGTTGGCATTAAAAACAATTTCTTTCAATTATACTCAGGTCAATTTGATTGTATTGGATCAATTGCAAAGAATTAGTTAAAATTTATATGAATAATTTGTGTTAAATATCATAAAGTTTGTTAGTGGCGTCATGGATGTTTTGATGAATTAAAAACATAAAGATAATTAATTAAGAATTATTGATGACAGTTGATATTGGGGCCAATGATTATAACTTTAATTACATTATTTAAGTAGAAAAGTAAATAAATAGACTAGGTATAAGTTATATGTTAATACTTAAATTTTCAATTTTTTAAGCTGCCTACAAGTACAATTTGATAATGACAATGAGAAACTAGTTGTCTTGTGTTAGGAGTTTTTAATAATCTGTAATGAAAGTGAGGTTACGTTATTTAATTAAAAATTCACTTTGAATTTGAATGGGCATTTTCATGCATTCTAAAATCAGAGTAGAAGTGTTCCACATTCTATGTTGAATGATGCTTTTCACATTTACATAAATTAAACTTAATTAGAGATTTATATATTCATGTCTTATTCATGTTGAAGCATATACTCGAGGGTGAATTCATAACATACTTCCATTATAAATAAAGAAGATAAACAAGATTTGGTGATTCAAGATTAATTTTGTATTGTGTCTGTTAAATTATATAAGAATTTGTGAACCCAAAAATTAAAAGAAGAATAAAAATTTAAAATTGATAAATATAGACTGTTAATACAATAAAAACTTTATAAATATAGATAAATGATGTGATATAAATTTATAATACAAAGTCGGTTTATTTAGATGTGTAGCGTGAAGAATTCGAGTCAATATTTTTTATATAATTTTCATAAATAGTAAATTACAACCAATTAATTACTGCTTTCAAGATGTTTGACATTCAACTTTAAAAGGGCATGGAACAGCTTGGTCTTATTTATGTAAATTTGAAAGGGAGGCAAATCAATTTTGATTGAATTGTGTAGTATGAGACAGAACAAGAAAATTTCAATTTGATTAATTCATCTTATGAGACTTTGGAATAATATTTCGAAGGTTACAAAAATGAAAACATTGATTTTGGAAAACTACTTATACTATGCATTATAATATATTAAATTTAAAATTTTATTACTTTTAGCGATTGTGGTTGTGAAAGTCACACAAACTATTATAGTTCTAGGTATATTTTAAGAGTAAACGACATTTTCTCACCCAAGGTTTGGTGAATCTAAAGTTTCCATCCATGGTTTCATAAATTTCAGATTTCTACCCTTAAATTTATAGAAAACCGTTTAATCTAACAGTTAAAAGAGTAAAATAGTCATTTCAAAATAACCTTTCACTTCTTAAATTCACCCCACTGAAAAATTTCAAAACAACTCTTCACCAAATTCACCCCACCAGCAATTTCAGGTCATTCTGGCCTGTTCTCGGCGCAGTCGACCCCTCCTGACACCACAACTACAATCCTCTTAACCCTCACATCAAAACCTTTAACCTCCCCAATTGATTGAACCCCCCAATCGTCGGTCACCGCTCTTAGTTTCAATCACGAGTTTTATCCAAATTCCAATAGGTCTCGGCACTGGAAACCACCCCCGACACCACCAATAGAATCATCGGCTTCCCCTACCAAAAACCCCAACATCGCCAATTGCAATTGCCCGTGGATTGCATCCGCTTCTCCCTTAGGTTTTCACATGTTGTTGTGCCTTTCCAGCCAAATTCTGACACCTCGCCAAGGTGCACTCGAGTGGAAAAGTTAGGGGTTTTGGTTAGGAGGATAAGGGGATGCTGATGGTGTTGTCGGGGAGGTCCAATGGTGCCAGAATTATGCCGGATTTTTGGCTTGGCAGGGATCTCCTGTGGGGGTTATTTGAGAGAAATTTGAGATGTAGAGGTTATTTTAAGAGAAAACTAACTGTGTTAATTTAAAAGTGAGAATCTGGAATTTATGAAACCATGGGTGGAAACTGCAGATTCGCCAAACCTTGGGTGGGAATACGTTGTTTACTCATTTTAAAATAGAATTAAGATATCAAAAGTTTGAAAGTGGACAGAAAAATTTGGCATTTACTTTTGTATTTAATCTTTATTTTATAAGGACTAACATTCATGCAAATATTAGTACACAGTAGGCATCACATGCTTCATGGTTAGGTAGATTAAACAATTGCCTAAAATCCTATTTACTTAAAAATTCACTTGATATTCTTAATCAGGGCGATCAAAAAAATACAAAATTCTATATAGAATATAAAATAAATAAATAAATCACATTACATTACATTACATCACGTTAAATAATCTCTCCATTAATTAACTCCTTTACAACCTAGAATATATAAACCACATGTACAAAATAAAATGTTTGGTGGTGGAATCCACGTAATTTTCATATGGCCACCCATAATGTTAACATGTCCATCTAAAATCGAATACCACAATTGATTTTATTAGTGTAAGATGAATGTATCTCAACCTTTTGCAGTTGTTATAAACTCTTTATCATAATTTAATAAAATAATATTTTGTGAATTATTTATGTCTTATTAATGTAACATTCAATATTTCAATTAATATTATAATTTAGTTCTTATTAATGAAATATAATATAAGACATGATGTTACATTAAAAGAACCTAATTTATTCGCTTTATGACATAAGGAGAAAATAAAAATGATCGATGGTCACATTTTCATAAATCATGTTATAATATCCACACAAAAAAAATCCAATAACACAACTTTATTCTATGCGAAGATTTCTTTATGAAGATTACGGATGTGAAAGTGTTCATCGACATGGTGAATGAATCGTTCTTCACTTCAACAAAATTATTTAAACACAAAAATTATTATATTTACTAGTGTTAATATCCTCCAATATCCTAAAAAAAATAATATCATATCAATAAGATCAAATTATATAACTTGTTGTGAATAAGAATGAATTGATCTACTACCATAATTGTTCGATTATTGGTTCGAAATGAAAAAGGCATATTTTTTTAAACTATGACAATGTTTAAAATTGATTCATGATATGAACTAAAAATAAATCATATCAATTTCATGAAATTGGATCATAGCATTTTGTGATGTCCCTAAGAATTTCAGGAATAATTGTGACATTTATATAGGAATACATTTTATTTCAACTTATAAGACTTTGGAAAAATATTTAGAAAAATGAAACCATTGATTTTGAAAAATTGCTTATATTATGAATGACAACATTGGTTAAAACTTAAAATTAATTAGACATTTATAAATTAAAAATTGTATAGCATTTTAATTGTATTACTTTATAAATGTAAATTGTGATTGTGAATGGTTATTTACTTCTATATAAAATGAAATAGGGTAAATATGAAAGTGAACAGAAAAATTTGACATTTACTCTAGATAAATCATGGGTAAAGATACCACCAGTGGATTGAAGGTATGTATAATCCCTTAGTTCGCCTTTTTCCGCCTCTTTAATATAAATAGATAATAAAAATAATTGGGGGTGGAATCGACATAATTTTCATATGTTCATTATGTTATAATATCTATAGAAAACCCAATAGCACAATTTTGTTCTATATTGAGATTTCTTTATGAAAATTTCGGGTTTGAAAATAGATAGAGGAATGAATCATCCTACACTTGCAACAATAATATTTGAATATAATTTTTTTTTTTTTTTTGAGATTTACTAATATTATATCCTCCAATATCCTAAAAAAACAATATCATACAATAAGATCAAAATATATATTCATCGAGTATGGGAAAGAAAGAGGTAGTATCAGTCTTCAATTATTTGACTGAAATGAAAAGACATTCTTTTGAAGCTATAAAAATGGTGAAATTGATTGACCAAAATCGTTCAATTTCATGAAAATGATTGTGGTGAATCCATGCATTTTTTTCACATTTCATCTAACATGTTGTCAGTCCCTCGAAATTTCATAATAATTGCTTTCGTATAAGCTTGAAATTTATCCAAGAATATATTATGTTAATTATCATCTTTAGATTATTATCTATGAAATATAATTGTATATTCTCAAAACATCTTTGCATTCTATCTAATTATTATAATACAATATTATAATTATATAATATAAATTATGGAGATGACTTGTTTTTAATTTTTTTAAGAACAAAATATTTTGTGAATCGCAATCACTCTCTTTTGATTTATGGGTTTTATTATCATTTGATTGACTTTCATCTAAAAGATTTTTTCAGCTTATTCTATGTAAAATTTACTAGAGATGAAACACTGTTAATTATTGTGCAGAGCTACCAACCGTCTTACTATGAAAAGATAATAAGACGATCGATCTAATAAAAACGTTGCTACTCATTCATTGTTGATATATCAAAATCTTGAACAACATACATATATAGAGAAAAAAAATATGAAATAGGGTAACCTTTTCCTTATTGGTACATTATTCGATTGGTAAAGAAAAAAAAAAAAAAAAAATGATAGATACCAAGTAAAACTTATTTAATGGTTCAAAATAAGAGTAAGATAAAGGATACCATAACTATAAATTTACATGAATAAATGTTCATTTGTTGTGCAACTGAACATAGAGTTACCTACCCTCTTACTAAAAAAAGATAATATGACGATCCATCAAATAAAACATTGATAACTCGTTCATCCTTGATATATTAAAATCTTGAATATATATATAGAAAACAATTATGACACAGGGTAACCTTTCACCCACCATTGGATTCGTAAAAAGATGATAAAACCTATGTGTTTTAAATAGCGTGAGATGACGTAAATACCCTAAATGTACATTTTCACATGGAAAAATATTCAATTTACTAGTACAAAAAATTGGTAAGTGAGAATTGTCCTTAATTTATAATTTAATAATATTCATAAGAGACAAGTGACATGTGACAAACAATATGCTGCATGCGTATCCTCCAAGTGTTTGGTATCTTTCAGAGGTGGACCTACAAATATTTATTTTTATTTTATCTTCACTGTTTAGACGGACAAGAGTCTCTTCGCAGTGCGGACAGGCCAATTCCCTTTTGGTCTTTTTCTTTCACTTTTGTTTAGCTCTTTAGTTTTATGACTACCCTAATCAAATTATTTAATATTTTTTGAATTAATTTCACCAAATTATAAATTTATATAAATTTTTTGATTCATGTAGAAAAAACCCCTAAAATTTGAAAATCCCTGTAAATTTGTCATAAAAATGAAACTGAATCCAAATATGTTTGTGAAAAGGAAAATGTTATACCCAAGTTCAAATTTGGTTCTCCATTTTAGAAACAACCATTTTTTAGAACTTACAATATCATTTTCGTAATTAGTGGACTAATCTCCTCAATAATATTTTTATTATTAAAATTCTAAATAAGTTTAATAATTTCTTTACTCTATTGAATAAAAAGATTTTGTTATAAATATTAAAAAAAAGGTTTAAAATTTTTATTTTTATTATTAGTAGGTTTTTAGGTGATTAATTTACAAGGACAAAACTAAGACGTGTCATTAAACTAGTGGTCATCCGAATACGGTGATGTGCAGTTCGCATCTGATAGCTACCCACCAAATATCTTAGCATCGTACAGTGAAGTTGAAGCAGCTCTCTCTAAAAGAGCAAGCCGCCAAATAATAGCGACAAAAATTGCAGAGACCCAGCACCAACAAAGCACAACAATGCGTTTTCCGCGTCGATCTCTTCGCGAGTTCTTCAATCTTCAGCCGCATTGGCTCACCATAACAGACCAGATCTCTCTTCCTCCTTCTCAATGCCGCTCCTTCTCTCCTCTCCCTCCCTTTCATTCCCATCAAAACGGTGCGTCTCTGTGCTTTTGATGTCTTTGTGTTACCGTGTCTCGTGACTTGATTCTAAAACATTGCATTTGGTGCTATTTTCTGTCTGTGGTTTTGGATTAATTAGAGTTTTTGCTTTGAAAATAAGTTTCAAAATTTTTGGATTAATTGGAAGGCATAAGATTTCTTTCTCAACGATTCGTTTCGGTAATTATTTGTTGTTTAAGACGCTTTTGATAATTACTGCTTCTGATAATTATAAAGTAATTAGATTCTCTTCTTCCTTTCATTTTCTGGAAAGTCTCATCATTTGCTTCCACGACATTTAAATGCTGCGTTTTGATGCTATATGTGATTCTAAACAGTCGTTTTGAAGCTGTGGATGTCATGTATTTTGTAATTTGAATGATAGAAGACCCCGGTCCGGCTAGAGCTTTTGGTTCTAAACGATGTCTTTCTTTGATGATTTTAAGATTAGTTAGAGAATTGGCTTCGAAGAGATGCCCATAATCACTTCTAAATGTCTTTGATGAATTTCTTTCAAAGTGCTGCTTTTCTTCTTCCTTCCATTTTAAGGTTAATGTCGTTCATTGCTTAAGAACGGTGATTTTGATGCTCTTGATGTGTCTGCATTTGATATAAATTTTGTAGATGGTTATTTAATGAGTCCAGGTCCGGGTAAATTTTTTCATTTCTCTCAAACAATGTCTAAGCAATGTGTCTTGTACTCTTTGGTGACACTGTCTGATTTTTTATTACTTTTTGATTAATTAGAATTTTTTCTTTGAAAAGATGCGTCAGAATTACTTCTAAACGATGAGTTTTGATAATTTTTAAGTTAATTACTTGCTTTCAAAGTGCTTTCCTCTCATCTTCCTCCAATCCTGGTAAATCACTTTGTTTGCCTCAAAACTGGTTTAATCAATGCAGTTTGATGCTTCTGCTGTCAAAAATTAATCTTTTAAGTTTCCTTGCAACTGATACTTACTGATAAGCTTTGTCCTTATGCTAGCTGTACATTTGTAATTTTAGAGTTAATGAGAGGGGTCCTGGTGAATCATTTACTTATGTTAAATGATGCATTTGATGTATGTATAAGGTTTCACAACTTATAATCAGAGTAGCTCTTTGAACGTTTCTTGTAGATTGTAAAGTTTATATTTTTGTTTAACTTTATTTTTTTATGTTGTATGTTTCAGAATAGCCTTTGGACAGCAGAGAAAAGAGAGTCTTCAAATTCACACATTTTGGCTTCAGTTACAGGTTTGTTCTATAATCTAATTGAGTTACAATTGGAAATTGTAAATACAATTCAGTCAATACCTGAATTTTCTCATGTTTACAGATATTTCAGTGGAAAAATCAATGGAAGAATTTCAGCTTCCCGAAGGAGACTTATGGTCTGTTCATAAGTTTGGTGGCACCTGTGTTGGAGCTCTGAAAGAATCAAAATGTTGCAGAGATATATAAGGATGATACAAAAGGAAATTGGTAGTAGTTTCAGCTATGTCAAAAGTAACGGACATGATGTATGACCTCATCTTCAAGGCACAGTCACGGGATGATTCATACGTATCTGCTGTGATGCTGTCTTCGAAAGCATCGATCAACGCACATGATCTACTTGATGGGATGAACTTGCTGGTTTCTTGTCTCGGTTGCATGATGACTTCATAACCTCAAACTATGCTTCGTGCAATAAACATAGGTATCATTGTGCTCCTCTCCTCGTCTCTCATCATTCCCCCTGCCCCTTCTTTTGAGTCATGCTCTAGATTGGTGGAGAGTTATTTGTTTTAGATTGTGTGAATTTGTATTCATGTATGAGTGAGGAATTTAGTAAACCATGTATAAGTGAGAATTAATTAACCATGGCATAAGAATCATTATTTTGAGTCTCATTTATGTATGACTTGATCCCAATTTGATGTTGTGTCTTTCTGATCTTGTACCTAATTAAAGCTAACCTAGACTGGGCAGGAATAAATTTAATCTCATGTTCTTCTCTAGCTTCTCTATTTAAACTCATGTTGGCTTTTTGGAAGTGTTATCCCCCAGTTTCATCTAGTCTCTTTCCATTAGGTTGGAAGTGAAAATCTGACGTTATTTAATTATTAATATACTGTCTATGAAATCTTGATAAGCACAATTATGTAGATGTTCAGGATTTTTTAAAAGAACTCAACTGGGGCTTTATGCATTTTTCCATATCTTTTCCCTATATAAGAACAATTTGATTGATAAATTTGAAGGTATCAATTTCAGAAACAATATTTTAGAATTTTTATATTGATAGGTTAATCTTGATTTTGTTGTCTTACCTTAGTTTCACTCTTCAAAAGATCATGATGCAAGTAATTTTATCATAATCTATAAGACAAATTGATATAGGAGGAATAGTAAAGTTTTTAAGCCTATAAATAGGCTCTGTTTTAATATGCTTGATTAATTGATTATAGACTACAATCTTGGTTCTCTCCCTTTTGATTCTTTCTCTTCTCTCTGAATTCTTCTAGTTTTCTCCCCTTTCTTGCTGTTCTCCCTAATCTATCCTCTCTCCTTCTATCTATCTCTGTAATTTCTATTCTCTATCTCTTTTCTGTTCTTTATCTGTCTCTCCTCTGACTCCTCTATCACAAAGACATTCACATAGGATATGGGTTCAATGTGATATGGATATAAATTTCTTGGAAATATGCTCTAAAATCTGCCTACATGTACTTATATCTTTTGGAATCTCTTGTTTATGTAACGAAAGACGAGTCCTTGTGTCTAATATGTTTAGATTGTATAGGCATGTAGTAAATTGAATCCTAGCATGCTGACAGTCATGGGATTCGGTTATCTCTATTGTCATAGACCTTTTCCTTTTCAGCTAAACTTGCTGTGTGAACTCAGAAATTGATCTCTAATATATTATCAATCATTAATTATTTATTTATTTTCTGCAGCTGGTCATGCTACAGAATCTTTTTCAGATTTTGTTGTTGGACATGGAGAGTTGTGGACTGCTCAGTTGTTAGCAGCTGTTGTCAGAAAGGTCTGAGGGCTATTCACTCATTGCTAAAAAGAATATCTTGTTAATAGTAGCCTTTTAAATATAGCCAGCAATAAGCTTTCAAAGCTATTTGAACTAACATATTATTTTGTTTTTGGTGCAGAATGGTATGGATTGCCAATGGATGGATACAAGAGATGTCCTCATTGTAAATCCAACCAGCTCTAATCAAGTTGATCCTGATTTTTTTGAATCTGAAAAAAAACTAAAGAAATGGTATTCTCAAAATCCATCGAAGACAGTAATTGCAACTGGTTTTATAGCCAGTACACCAGATAATATTCCCACAACCTTGAAGAGGGATGGAAGTGACTTCTCAGCTGCTATAATGGGTGCTCTACTCAGGGCTCGTCAAGTCACAATTTGGACTGATGTGGATGGAGTGTACAGTGCAGATCCAAGAAAAGGTTTGTATGGAGCCTTATATATATGCATTTTTATCCAAATTTGGGTTACCAATTATAGTCATTTTTTTTTTTTTGGTAGATAGTATTATATGCTTATCTTACAAATTCACTCCAATGTTTGGGTATCTTCTTAGAACTTTAAGAAAACATTACTATTTGGTTTGATTGTAATGTGAAAAGCTATCTTCTCTGCAGTTAGTGAAGCTGTGATACTGAGGACATTATCTTACCAAGAGGCCTGGGAAATGGTGAACTGATTACTACTCACATGTCTGTCAAAGTTCTGTAACTTTCTGACTTATGTTTCTAAATTAAATTCATGTCATTGTGCAGTCATATTTTGGGGCAAATGTCTTGCACCCTCGCACCATTATCCCAGTTATGCGATATGACATTCCAATTGTAATAAGGAATATCTTTAACCTCTCTGCACCTGGAACAATGATATGTCGGCCTTTTGTTTGTGAAAATGAAGATGACCAAATTGTGGACACTCCTGTCAAAGGGTTTGCAACAATTGACAATTTAGCTCTAGTCAATGTTGAGGGGTGAGCATTTCTGCTGCAATTTCCACTGCATGTTTATTTTTGAGGTTACAATTTGTTCATCTAAATTTTGTACCATTTATGTTCTTTTTATTTTCCTGTTGGCAGAACTGGAATGGCTGGCGTTCCCGGTACAGCAAATGCCATTTTCGGTGCTGTGAAAGACGTTGGAGCTAATGTCATCATGATATCTCAGGTAAATTCTTCCTCTAGTTTAAGTTTAATATTTTTTTATTATTTTATTATTTAGTACTCACATTCTTAGTGGGTGATAATGATGTAGGCCAGTAGTGAGCATTCTGTGTGCTTTGCTGTGCCTGAGAAGGAAGTAAAAGCTGTTGCAGAGGCATTACAGTCTAGATTTCGTGAAGCTCTGAATGCTGGACGGCTTTCCCAGGTGCTTTTTTTTTTTTTTTATTTATTTATAATGAACTTGTGGACTTGATAATTTGAAAAGCATAAAAACCATTACAATTTATTTTATCTTCTGTGTGGTGATTTCTGACATGGTTGTCCTACAACATTATTGGTAAGATTGTGTTTCTTATATAGTCTTCTCATTGTAAATTGACTTCTGTTCATTCTTTTGTTTTCTCATAACAACATTCTACTATGATTAAACAGTTGATATCCCACCCTGGAAAGTTGCTAAAAAACATTGATTAGTTATTTACTTATCCACCTATTAGTTAATATTATGAATTAGCTACAAAGCTCCTGGCTAAAAGTTTCATGTCTGCATAATTCATCATAGGTTGAATCTTTAGCTTGTTTCATGTAGGTAATCTGTGTTATAGAGCTCTTTATTCCTTTTCAGTGTTACAAGTGCAAGAGTTACCGAGTTCCATTTATGCCAAATTTGATGTTGTTCTATTTTTCCACTTAAAATATATCTTGAAGTTACTATTCTTAGGTGGCAATCATTCCCAATTGTAGCATTTTAGCAACAGTGGGCCAGAAAATGGCAAGTACGCCTGGAGTTAGTGCCACTCTTTTTAATGCTTTGGCAAAGGTAAATTATATCATGTATCTTGATAAATAAATTCAGTGGTTCACTCAATTTCCAGATTCTGCTTCGATCGTTAAATCTTGTGATTCCTTGTAATGTGCTTGAAGTATTATTGCATTGCAGGCAAACATCAATGTCCGTGCTATAGCCCAAGGTTGCTCTGAGTACAATATTACTGTCGTAGTCAAGCGTGAAGATTGCATAAGGGCTTTGAGAGCTGTCCACTCTAGGTTTTATCTTTCGAGAACCACAATAGCAATGGGGATTATTGGCCCTGGTTTGATAGGTGGCACATTACTTGACCAGCTCAGGGATCAGGTGCACTAATTAGATAGTTCACTTCAACTTTTAATTATATCATTTATAGTTTAGCATCTCTGATACAGGCACTGTTGTGAGTATGAAATGGAAAATTGTAATCTTTGCCAACACATATGTAGTTAATTATGGCATATACTAGGACAGTTAATTTGATAGTTTATAGTGGTGCTGAACTATGGTGGTTATGGTTCTGCTTTCATTATTATAATTTTTTATCATCTTTGTGATCAGAGGCATGGGATCACTAATCAGAAAGCTTTAGTGTTTTCCTTCATAGACATGAACTTGTTTATCATTTGTTTTTAGAGAGAACCCAAAATATTAATGCTGTTTATCTGTTTCCCACATCTGGTCCTACATGTGTAATGTTGGGCACTTTTTCAGATAGCACTGAACTAGGGATGTTGGTAAAATTTTGTGAAAGATGAATATTATAAATTGCGTACATACTACATCTTCTTGCATTAAAATTCAAAATTGAAAAATTATGGAAATAGTTTCAGTTTGATCCAAATTCAAAAAACCTGCAATTTGTTTCAAACTTCAATAATCTGAGAAATACGCATATAGAGATATAAGAATGTAACATGCTTAACAAAAGGAGAAATTTAATAATAGCTGTTGGAATGGTCTGTCCTCCCCCAAGTTAAGTTATGAAGCTATATGCTCTTTCATAAATGGCATCTCAATAAGTTTTGAACTTTTTCCTTTGGCAGGCAGCAGTTCTTAAGGAAGAATTTAACATTGACTTGCGTGTCATGGGAATTACTGGCTCGAGGAATATGCTCTTGAGTGATTCGTAAGTTTTAAGATTTATATGGATAATCCTAGGGGTATGATATCATGTTTGAGAAACAATCTAGTGACTTTGCTCTTCCTGCTGTGAATTAATCACCGTTCATAACAATACAAACTTTTTTTCTTGGTTGGTTGTTAGGAGCTCAATTTGGGTTTGTATGGTGGGATGGTTTGATTAATCAAACTGCTTGTTTTATTCATTATAAGCATATTACTCTGCAGCCTGTGGACTCATTTATCTTTCGTTATAGGGGCATTGACTTGCTGAGATGGAGAGAGCTATTAAAGGAGAAAGGAGAAGTAGCTGACCTCAACAAATTTACTCAACATGTGCATGGGAATCATTTCTTCCCAAATACGGCTTTGGTAGATTGTACAGCAGACTCGCATGTTGCCAGTTGTTACCGTGATTGGTTGTGTAAAGGGATTCATGTGATCACACCAAACAAAAAAGCAAATTCTGGGCCTCTTGATCAAGTAATGTTAACTTTGGCCAAGTCATTTGGATATTATGATTATAACAATAATATAGTAATTATGAAGTCCTCATTCTGGACGAGTTAGTGTCTTGGTCCACCTTTCTGTTAACTTAGAAGACGATAATTAGGACTGCTTAATCAACTCTTCTATAAGATTATTTATCCTTGCTTGAATCTTGTTGTATTGTCGATCCTTTTGGTGGCTTTTTATTGATGTAATTTCCATGTCAATCCAGTATTTAAAGCTGAGGGCCCTTCAACGGAAATCCTACACACATTACTTTTATGAAGCAACTGTTGGCGCTGGTCTTCCAATCATTAGCACTTTAAGAGGACTGCTTGAAACCGGGGACAAGATATTGCGCATTGAAGGCATTTTCAGGTGAGGCATATTTACTTTGCCGGGTAGCTAGAAACAGTCATACTTACAAAAACGAAGTTGGTTGAGCACCTAAAATGCATGTGTTTTACATAAGTTATACATCTACTAACACAAACCTTAACCCTCTTGATTTATTGTTGCAGTGGGACTTTGAGTTATCTATTTAACAACTTTATAGGCACACGAAGTTTCAGTGAGGTGGTGGCAGAGGCAAAAGAAGCAGGTTATACTGAACCAGATCCTAGGGATGATCTATCTGGAACAGATGTGGCCAGAAAGGTACTATGTGCATTATATGGTTATGTTATTTAAATGTGCATTAAAGTTCATAGGGGTGGGTTCCTTTTTCTTTTTTTTTTTTTTGGCCACCGCTATGGGCAACTCCCAAATGCCAAAAGACAGTTAAGACATATTGTCAACATTCTATAACAGCCTCATTGTTAAGGGATTTATAGCAAACTTTATTTGATGACTGATAAGTTAGCTCCTCACATTTTTTGTGAATTTCTTTGATTGATCATTTTAAAAACGATTCTTTATGTATTAGGTGGTACTACCGCTCTGGTCCAACCAGATGCTACGGTTGAATCAAACTGTTAATGATATTTATTGCCTCTGATCTTTTTGGTAGTTATGTCATCACAAATCAAATATGGGACGATTGTAAAGGCATGCTATATTATACGCTTCTATATGTATTTATTCCATGCCTCCATGCTGAATGCATTTAGATGAGAACAGACTCATAAGATGATTTTCTTTCTGCAGGTGATAATTCTTGCTAGAGAATCTGGTCTGAAGCTGGAACTTTCTGATCTCCCTGTTCACAGTCTTGTGCCTGAACCTTTAAGGGTAAGACATTTTTCTCAATTCCATATTGGATTAAGGAAGAAGTTCATCTTCAATGTGATGTTCTAATATTTTGCTGTAGGCTTGTGCATCTGCTGAAGAGTTCATGAAGCAATTACCACAATTTGACCAAGAACTGTCTAAGGAAAGACAAGAAGCTGAGGATGCAGGAGAAGTGAGTTTTCTATAAAACATTCTTGGAAGTTTAACCTTTCAGTAGAGCTAGACTCAAATTTCCTAATGACAATACCTCAAAATTGAGTCTGAATCATGTTTTAAATTCTAATAAGTCCCTAAAAAGTTAAAGAAGTAAGCTGGGCGCACATTTTTAATCCTGTGGAGAATAAATGGCCCTACAATCTTAGAGAATACAATACTTTTGATACAACATATCATGACTCCCTAGACAGAGAATTCTGAAAAATTTGAGAAATTTTTTTTGTTCTTCTTGAAGTATGTCTTATATTGGTCACAAGTTATGGTGTGGTCCTTTTCTCTGGAGCTGATTTACAAGAATAGGTTGCTTTCGTTTTTGCTTAACATGTAAGATCTTGTCTTTGCGTCAAATTGTGTATCTCAGGTTCTGTATGTTGGAGTGGTGGATGCTGTCAACCGAAAAGGTATGGTGCAGTTGCGAAGATACAAAAAACCATCCATTTGCACAGCTCTCTGGTTCTGACAATATCATAGCTTTCACGACAACAAGATACAAGGAGCAGCCACTTATAGCCGTGGTCCGGTGCTGGACTCAATCACAGCCGGTGGAATTTTCAGTGACATATTGCGGCTAGCCTCATATCTCGGTGCCCCATCATAGTGATGTCAATTTCTTACCTACTGTTTTAGCTATCCTTCTTTCGGTTATTTAAGACAGGTTCGAGTACTTTTGTCGATTGTATGCTTGAGTTGTATTCTAGTGTTCTTAGTTCGTAATAAATATGAAAATCAATCTTGTTTAATTTAGTTACTTAGCAGCTTAGATTGAAGTAGTGTTAGATTAGTATCGCATGTAGTGTGTTGTTTTGTTTTCTGCCCACAAGCGTGGCGGCTGATGCTATGTATGCCTTGATCTTATTCAGTAAGAGAGCTTGGATTTAGTCACGTATTGTTTCTTTTCGTATAATTTATTGGTATTTTTTTTTGTAGTTTTAGAATATAATTGAAATATATTAAAATAAACCTTCAACGCATTCCATTAAAATAAATATTAATTAAACTAAATAATATGTTTATTATTAATTACATTTCTACGAATTCAAACTTTTTTTCTCTTTTCATTATGATATACGCCACCTTTATTCACTTCAAAGATTTTATTTTAATTTTTTTTCACCGTAGAACTTTTAGGTCAAGTATTATTATGCTTTGTATTAAAATATTATAAATTTCTTGAATTGAACTTCAATTTTTTTTTTTTTTTTTTTTTTTTTTAACTACCCATTTTAAGTTGGATCATTATTCTTTAGTCCTTCTTCCAATTTCTTTGTTCTGCCATAAGGTGATAGCTCCTAGTTTTTGTCATCCTACATTTAAATTTTCTTCTTGAATTTGGTTTTTGTGAATCATTTTCAGTTCGGAGAATGTGTTTCACAGGAGCAAGATAAATTTTGGGGAGGGAATATGCTCTTTGCTGGAATATGACTTACAGTTCAGGTTAATTAAATGATAAAAAAAAAATATATTTTAATCTAATTAATTCTTTTAATGAAAGATAAAATCAACTAAATTACCCTTATGTATATACCTAAACAGAGTTTCCTCTTGTTGTGTCTTCTTGAGTGTTTTCAGAAATTGGATTTGCAATTCTCATTCTTGAACCTGAGTTTCTGTAATAATTTATACCTCTGTTTGGGTTTGAAACAACAATGACGGAAGTGATGCTTGATAGATACTGCAAAGGAGGAGTTCTTGAACAACTTCTTCAAAGATGCGTATAGGTGGCCTCTTTCAGCAAAGCGTGTGGTCCTTTCTTTGAATCTATTGATCGCTTCTTGGAGATGTATTGTATTATTCCCTTTGATCATTCCAATAAGAAAACCAAAACGGAGAGTTGATTGTCACGCTTGTTCTTAACATCCGAGATGGGTGCTTTTTTGTCAATCCATCCCTCACAGTATGTCAAAATCGGAAAGATGATAAACCCTGATGAGTTTAACTGCGTTCTGCACCTGGAGCCATGAAAACATTACCACCGCTTGGGAGACCGTTGGAGAGCCAAGAATCGGTGGAATTATCATATACTTGCTGTTTTCAAGCCGTCGTCGGATTATTGGCGAAACCACGTCCAGTGAAGAAGAAGAGTTTCGTTGGTGTTGAACAACGTCGTAGTCATCATGGCAGTGGCCTTATAGGATTTTAGTTTCTTGACTGATCAGGAATCTTCTCATGTAATTACTTAACAGTTGAATTTCAGTTTGTTGATGATAAATGTCTAGGATTTTTGCTTATTACTAGGATTCATTCATGGGAATTACCAAATACCTGATGTGTTATTGATTGAAGTTAACACAAATAAAATGAATCAGTTTTCAAAGCTTATTTTTATGATCATTTTGTTTTTAATTTTTCATCTTTTAATTTTTAAATTATCCATTTGAATTTATAATACACAATTAAGATAATTCAATTTTGACGTGCTTTGGTGTTAGTTTTGGTCTGGGTTTCATGATTCTATAGGTACGAGCTTGGGATTTTAATTGATTATGTTCATCTTTTTGTTAATTCTGGTCTGGGTTTCATGATTGTGGACAGTGGATACTCTGTAGAAGTTTTCAATAATAGACAATTTGGCTGTATAACGTTGAAGACTGAGCAATTTGAGCTGCATCTGTATATTCGATGTTGGATTCATATTATCCTGGGTAGGATTTTCCACAACATTAGTGGTATTTAAGGATCTGGAATTTATGAATTTCCCGATTTGGCTTAGTTTTTTCATCACTGCACTGTTTTTCTTTTCAGATTCAAGCTTTAAGAATTTTGGAATTCTGTCTTTGCTACCATGGTTGGGTGAACTGGAAGGAGTCATATTCGTGCAAAATATGTTAAGTCTTAAAGTTTTCTTTAATTAGTTGTAAATGTTTTTTATATTCTATATTGTTTTCTTTCATTAGTTAACATTATCTTTTATACGTATAATCAAACTACCTAGACTCATGGAAATGAAATCTAAGTGGCTCATGCGAAAGACCTGATCACACTCCGATCTAATATCAACTTCATCTGGGTTGTCACTAAATGAATCAAGTCAAATCAAACTCTTATCAACTGCTATCTGGGACAAATACAGCAAGTTTCAGTAGTCGCACCATCGAAGCAAAGAAAGTTCAACTAGGAGCTAAATGACAAATATTGGGCTTGTTGTGGCGTCTATTCGCTAGATCTCTGAATTTTTAGAATCTGCAGCAACACCTCGGGAAGGCTTTAAGTATTTTCCTACATCAAAATCCCAAAACTTTAAATTAGAAAAAGAAATTTCGTACATATTATCATTACTGTTGTGGGGAAAATGAGTCATGCCATTGGTGGCGCTGTTACACGAGGCTAACGACTCACAAGTGAGACGTTGCTAGATGCTGAGGGAAAATCGGTGTGCACGCCTTACAAACCACGTGTGCAAGGAGCGCACCCTTGCATGCCTAATGCAAAGGGTGTGGATATGATTTATACTTCTCTTAGTCTTGAGATTATTTCCCTACGGTGACTCATTCGGTTCTCGTTCGCTGGTGAGCGGGTGAGGGTGAGGGGGTAGGGAGCAGTTACTCGTGCACATAGCCGTGCACGCGCACTACAAAGGCATGTGGGCCGCACCACCCTATCCCCAAAAGCGGGGTTTAGTCCTTCGCATCCATTGCAAAGGGCAGCAGGAAGTACTGCCCCATGGCTCGAAACAGCCGGGCTCCAGCCTCTTGTGCCCATTGCAAAGGGCACGAGCGCACTGCCCCACAGCTCGAAACAGTGGGGCACCAGCAGTCTGCCCTGCCCCAAAACAGCGGGGCTTGCAGCGTAAGGTAATGTAAGTTTTGACAGTGTATGAGTAAGGTAAGGTTCCAGCGGCTACAGAGGAGACTTTTACCTGTTAACGCCCTTATTTTTTTCATTTTCAGTATTGACATAACTTTCAGACATACTTAAACACACATTCCACGTAAACTAGATTCTGTGAATCTGGAAAGAGAATTACAAACATTGTTTCAAAATTTATGCTAAAAGATCTTTCTTACAAAAAAAAAAAAAAAAAAACTTGAAAAGGAAGACAATAATAGTGTTCATATCAAATTTTATTATGATATATTAGAAATTATTATTGATGGAAAAACATATATAAATAACCTATCTCACCTGGAGCATATATACAAAAGAAAAAAAGCAATAGTTACATTTGGGAGAGAGAATACATAAAGAATTACCTATACATTGTTAGAAGCAACGCATAAATAAAATCACTCATACAATTTTAAAATTAATATGAAATTAGTAAGAAATAGAATGAATCTGATTCATAAAACAAATTTTACTTTTTCCAAACCCATAACCTTTCATGGGATTTCTTTGTTGCTTGAATAGTAGAGAGAGAGCCAAGCCTAAGAGTAAGAGGGTACAAAGCAGTTTCGTTTCGGTTGTGAGTGAAAAGAAAATGATAACAATGTGAGTGAAAAGAAAATGATACAAACAATCCTGACCACAAAATTTGTCACCGTCAAGTGTCAGGTGAAATTGATCAGGAGAAGATTCAATTACATAAAAAAGAGGTTAATGTTTATTAGTATGACAAGAACTTACCAAACAAGTAAAAACAAATGATATTAGATGTGTACAACCAAACCAAGACACTTTCCCCAAAATTCAAGCAAAATGCGAAAGAGAAAAAAGAGACAGCATCTTATTTACCTTGAGCTGGATTCGCCAGCAGAAATTTTCCCTTTCAATCTCTGGACTCTGGTTTCTCCTCCCTGTACAACCACCCAGACATTTTTCCCAAGAATTCAAGCAAAATGGAATCTTGAAAAGATAGAAAATAACAGGAGAAAAAAAGGAAGCCATATTACCTTGAGCTGGATTCGCCAACATAGAAATTTTCAGTTTTCAATTTCTTGGACTCTGGTTTTTCTTCCCTTGTTAACTCTAAGTTTGGACACCAAACTCCACACTTTTTCACATTGCAACAACCTATCTTTCATATTTAAATTCTCAACATAAAATCGGATGGTCATCTCACAATATCTGCGATCTTCATTAGTGTGCGAACAGAGAACTTAGACAAAATCATATCCCAGGAATACGTGATCTAGTCCACATTGTCAGGTCCATTACATAGTCCCATCCCCTCAAAGTTCCTGGGAACACATCGATTATACCATCTTCTCTTGTGAGCAAACACCAAAGCCAACCACCAAACTCTGGCCTTCATTATGATAGTTTCGAAACCCACAACAACCCAGATGAGAAGAAAGTCAGTCACTAGAGCGAAGATACTTTTTTCTCCAGAGTTAATAAAGATCCTATCTCTAAAAGACCCCAACTCTGGGATTTCCCATCCAGGGAACAGAAACAACGACTTCTGTTGTGTAAAAGTCTTCTCTGTACAAGACGTAAAAAAAAAAAAAAAAAAAAAATGAAGTCAACCACTTATGACATGGTTATAAACGTTAACATATATCATTAACAATTTTCTTTTTCTAACAGAAGTGATGAAAAAATCATATGAAAAAAGAAAGAGCGAGGAGCCCTTTTAGTCTTTCTTAAACATACATACCCATTCAACAAAATTATGATCTTGTGACGGTTGAAATACTTTAACAGTGTCAGTGATGGCCTCTTGATCCAGTTTGAAGCAATTGCTGAAGTTAACTCTTACGCTTTTAGAAAAAAATCTGCCAAAGAGAATCGACGAACTTGATGATGATGCTTCCAATGCTGTCAATTGTGTGCATCTGAATTTTCTAATAGACATGGAAGCTCTGGTAGGATATGAAGCCTCTCGCAGTAGCTTACGTCAAGATAAGATAACCAATAAAGCTGTTCAATGCTTGTTGGAATGCTCTCAAAGAAGTTTCTGCCAAGAAGTAAACTTTTTAGTGAGGATAACTGACCAAGATTCTTCGGCAACTCCTCAATACCACAGCTTGTCAGATCTAGTTCTTCTAGACAGCGCAAATTTAGAATGGATGTTGGTACTTCGCGCGTAGGGACCCCCTCTGCTTTAAGCACCCTCAAAGCTTCTAAATTTCCCAAGTTATCGGGCAATCCCTGAAGTATTGAACACCCTGAGAGATTGAGATGTTCAAGAGATTTTAACACAAAGATATTGCTTGGCAACCTCTCAAGCATAAAGCATCATTTAAGATTCAATATAACTAGTCTGGATAAATTCTCTATTGACGACGGCAACTCCTTTATGGCAGTTTGATCTAAATATAACTCTTTCATATTCCAAGAGATCTGTGAAAACAACTTAAGATTCGAGCACCCTGAAAAGATAACCTTTTTGGGAGATTCTAGACGAATGCTTGTTGGAAGACTACCAAGGCTTTTACATTGCCTTAGATTTAAGATAAGAAGCTTATAACTGAGACCATAAATGGATAAGGCAATCTCACGCAAACTTGTAAAACCTTCTAAAATCAAATTTTCAAGATTTGGGGTCAATGAGAGATCTTGAATCCTTAGATGTTTAGAGAAACTGAGATCAATATGTTTCAAATTATGAAGCTGTAAATAGGAAATAAATAATCAGTAACACATATTAGTATCTTTGATATTGAGAACTTAAGAAAGAAATATCGGAATATTAATATCACTACATTACCTGGGTACCAGACCAAAGTTGTTCAATATTGCTGTGAGGCATGTCAAGCGCAACAAGGTACTTCAGCAAAAAATTTGGCTGCAATGATTTCAATGGACATCCATGCCAAGATAAGTATCGTAGCTTAGTCGAAACATAACGAAGCTCTTGGGAAATATGCACCTTATTGATATTATTCTCTTCATAGTGCGCATTATGTAGTTTAAAGAATCTAAGTTGATGCATGGTTGCTAAAGCACAAGGTTCTAAGTATATGGTCTCTTCTTGTTTAGACATGTCTAAACATATGCCTTCAATTTTATTAGGAACCTAATACCAAAGAAAGATGATAATTAGCTATAAACTATTTAAGATTTTATTAGCTATTTTTTCGACTTTCTTCTAAAATGATTAAACACAAGCCAAAACTGATCCAAGCTAATTCAGATAGGAAAAGTGGAAACATAATTCTCGAAATAAATTTATAAAATATCAAAACAGAATATATACAATGTGTTTGACACTTACCTTATTTTCTTCTAATACTTCATAGATATCTTTACGGTACCATAAACGGCTATGTTTACTGGGATCTTTTGTGGATTCTTGTTGAACAATTTTCCAACCCATTTCTTAAAGCAAATCATGCATTGTTATCTTATTATCTTCTGATATAGTTATGAGATACTTATCAGTACGTGAGAACACTTAGTACATATTCAGTTCTGTAATCACAAGCATCCAAAAAGTTTACCACAACCTTTATTCTCCCATGAAGAAAACATTCAATATTTAGAAATATATTCTGCTCATTATAATTTAGGTCCTCATAACTTATTTTTAGTACCTTGTGAATATCCACATGAGGAATTATTTCGAATTCTTGTAATGCACTTTCCCAAACTTGTTTTGATTTGCCAAGCAAGCAACAACCCAACATCTTAAGAGCTAGTGGAGCACCTCTAGTATATTTTACTACCCTATTTGATGGGTCACCATAATCTATGTTGGGACGATTTCGCCGAAAAGCTACCAACTAAAAAGTTGAAGAGCTTCATTCATAGGTAGCCCCTTCATCTTGTATATACTGATGTCATCCGCTCCACAATTTCGAAGCACTTGTTTATCTGTTGCTATTATAATGATTTGACTTCCTGGACCCAAGGTACTAATTTCAATTAAAGATTCTACTTGTTCTGAAGTAGTCACATCATCCAAAATAATAAGAACTTGTTTACGACCAAGCCTTCCTTTTGTGAAGCCAATAGGATGCTTTAATATACTAGAAAGAAGTTCTTGTTGCATCCAAGTTAGTCCATAACGACCCGTTGATTCTTCCCTAATATTTCTAGCAAAGTATGAACCTTCAAACTGATTGCTTATTTTGTCGAATACACTCTTTGCAATAGTTCTCTTGCCTATACCACGCATTCTCGAAATTCATACAATGTGAACATTTCTCCCCCAATTTGCATCAAAGATTCAATTTTTTGAATGAATAATTCTACTCCAACTAATTTCTTGTCATTATTACTTGGGGACATGAAATTTAAGATCTTCAAAATATCTTCAATAACTTTTTTTGCAAGATTATAATTAAGCCTAACAATAATGAAAAAGAAAAACTGTTAAATCTGTAGTAAACCATTAAGAATTAAAAAAAAAAAAAAATCCAACAATAGTTGATTTTAATGAAGTTTAGCATGGTGATGACAACTTAACATGACATCATAGGGATGGTAGATCAACATTATATCAGAGGCTTTTAGGTAACATGGTATCAGAGGACAAAACTGAGACCATTTATGTGAGATGACAACATGATGTCATAATAAGGATGTCATATCGGCCTTTAGGTGTGATAACAACTTAACATGGTAATATATTTTTCAAATTCTAACAAACATGTAAAATATTTTGCAAAAAGTAAGTAACTAGCTACTTAATTTGTGAATTTTAATGTGAGAGTATCTTCTATTAGGTATTGAAAAAAAAAAAATGGCCATTAATCCAGTAAAATATATATATGGAATCTCTCTTAAACTACTTGATGTATAATGTGAAAGTTAAAATCAGCTAAAACTGCCAGAGTATTAAATTAAAGGGTAGAGAATTACGATCTCTTATTTGATGTCCTGCCACATAGGTTGGCTGCATCTGTCAAAGCATTCTTCCATGTCTGAATCTTGTCTTTAAATTGTTCTTCTGTCAATTTGTAGGTTCTCTAACTTCTCCTCATCAAAACTTTCTACAAGCTTGGCAAATCCATCTCCAAAAATTCCAGTTTGATTCCTTACTTCTGATGGATCCATGAGATAGAAAACTGGTATTACCGACTGTTTTTGCGTTTTCTTGCACTCCATGATCTTCACAAGTTCTTCAAGACACCATCTTGAAGATGCATAACCTTTCGAGAAAGTAATAACGGAAATCATTGATTCTTCAATTGCACTCATAAGAGATGACGAAATCTCCTCTCCTTTGTTAAGTTCATCATCAATGAAAACATTTATACTTGTCTCGTTCAAGACTCCATGTAAAGTGCTGGTAAATGTGGTCCGGGTGTCCTCGCCACAGAAACTGAGGAAAACATCATGCTTCCTCACTTCAACAGCCGTGGAAGAAGAAGCAGAAGAAGCCATCGTACTTGATAGGCTTTCAAAAACGAAGCAGCACCATCTCAAGAAGCAATACGAAAAGTTTTATCATAAAAGTGTGATTGCCTGATCTGCTATCTCGAACCTTCCACAAAGTTTAATTAATTATTTCTTATCTCTTAGTGTTTGATTGAAATTTCTCGCATTTTGACCTCCCAAAAGATTTATTTGCCGCGTGGGAATCTACTCCCACATTTGTATAACATATTTAATCTCTTTAATCTTTGATAAGTTAAAGGGAGAACGACTTACACGTATCCAAGGTTTATCGTAACGACAGTTAGTACTCAAAAGATTTTGAAATGATAAATAGGTACTTTCCGTCATGTTCTGTTAGTGATTTCTGTTTATTACTGTTTATTAATAGTGAAAAGACTAAAATGCCCTTAAAAGTTTGAATTTTAGTTTTTTATAAATTTAAAAATTTCTAAAAAACCCCCTAAGTTTACAAATTTAACTAAATACCCCAATATATAAAAATTTTATAAAATAACAAAAACACCTCCGTCACCCGCAGTGCCAGATTCCGGCCAACGCCGCCGGAATCTGGCCGGAAAGTTGCGTTACGACACAGACCCATCGGATTTGTGTCGTAACGCGTCAATCTGGCCTGTTCCGGCCAGATCCGTGGCTGATCTGGCCGGAAAAGGCCAGATCTACGCCTAGATCTGGCAGTCGACGCCGCAAAACTCCATCTGCGGCGTCGACGGCCAGATCTGGCACTAGATCTGGCCTTTTCCGGCCAGATCTGGCTGCTGCTTCGACGGCCAGATCTTGCCTTTTCCGGCCAGATCCGTGGCGGATCAGGCCGGAAAAGGACAGATCGGCACGTTAAGACACAGATCCGACGGATCTGTGTCGTAATGCAGTTTTCCGGCCAGTTTTCGGCGATGGTGGCCGAAATCTGGCACGGGGGTGGTGGGGGTGTTTTTGTCATTTAACAAACTTTTTATATATGGGGGTGTTTAATTAAATTAGCAAACCTAGGGGGTTTTTTAGATATTTTAAATTTATAAAAAACTAAATTTGAAACTTTGAAGGGCATTTTAGTCTTTTCACTATTAATAAACAAAAATCACTAACAGAACATGACGGAAGGTACCTATTTGTCGTTTCAAAACCTTTTGGATACCAACTTGTCATTACGATAAATCTTGGGTATGCACAAGTCATTTGGCCTAAGTTAAATTATAAAATGCTAACAACTTTCGGCGAACCTTTCCCCTAGTTCGATGAACTTTTCTCTTGATACCATGATCATTTTGATAATACTGTTTATCACCAAACTGATTTTCCTAGTATGTTTATCCAAAATTAAATAGCTTTTTCATTTGGGGAGACCATGTGAATGATTAATAATTTTCCTAATTGATTAATTTCTCTGTCTCATACTTCAATTAGTTTTTGATTGTCACTTCCCAAAAGATTCTTTGCCGCGTGGGAATCTAAATCAATTTACTAGTATAAAATATTTCTACACTACATACAAAAACTGTCACAGGTTGGCAATCCATATGATCAGTCTAACTAGTAATCACAATCGCACAAAAAAACACAAATTGTCAAAAGCTACACCGTTGAATCATCTTCTTCAAGCTGTAATTCAAGCGAAGCAACAACACAAACCATGTAGACTTGAATCCAAAAACAATCGCTCCTTCATTTGTAAATTTATTTGTATAATAAAACCGTGTCATTCAAGTATTCAACTTATAAAAACTAACCGACTTTAACAGAACTATAGTGCCTTTAGTGAATTTTAGAACCTTTAACGGACTTCATTATATCCTCTGTCAAGCTGACCGTTGATTGTTTTAACAAACATTTGAACTTCAATGAACTGGAGTTCTTCATTCTCTTTTCTTCAAAACACAACCAACTTCTGATTCTGAACTTCTTAACATTAATTAGTGTACCTATCATTCATATAATTTTGCATTTTATGTGTGTGATTATATATCTAAATATTATTAATAGTCTTCAATTCTGACCCATTCTCCATCTCGGACACCTTGTCTTTCAGTCGTGTATGCATTATCAGTGATAAAATTTAATAGTAACAATTAATAAAGATGTCTTTAAAGTATTATTGTTGATTATATCGTAATTAACCTTAGTTGTTTTTCCCTTGGAATCTGTATTATTCATCCGATTTAAAATACTAGCTATATTTTCATTCCATTAAGTGATGCATGATTACTTGAGTTTTGGAAATAAGAAGCATTTGTTTGCCCAATTAAATATACGAAAATATAGTTGAAATTGTAGTTGTAAATAAATATGTATAATATGAACCAACACAGGTCTTACTTCTCCTTTATAATTTTTTTTTTAACCATATGTTTTGTTTTATATGATACATAAATAAAGCTTCGTTTGAGTTAAGATTTTGGTTCTTTTATGTCAATTTTTAATGACATTTTTTTCCAAGTTAAGCAAGAATTATGTCAATGGGTCTTAAAAATATAGTGAATTTTTCCGTGGTGAATGGGTGACTCACTAAAATTGAAATCGATAATGACTAGTACGTCAAAGAGGAAAGGTTGAAGTGTACATTAGTAGTGATTGTGAGAGGAATATGAGAGTTTAGTGGTTATTGGAATTCTAATTTTAGATTGAGTTTGTGCAGTATTTAATGTGAGACTCTGACTAACTTTATCATATAAATTATGCGATCTCCATCATGTTTAGACTTGGAATTATAGAGTGTACCAAACTCAATATCCTTTAATTTTGACCATTCTATTTATAATATTGTATGAGTCTCTTTTCAATTCTAATAATATTATATATATAAACTTTGTATACAAAATTATATACACATTACATGATGAATTCAATAAATGTGAATGAATGGTACGACATTGAAAAGCATTACTACGTTTACATATATAAAAATGCTTGTACACTTTGTCTGTATAAGTAATATTACTATTTTGTGTGAAGATCGAGTTTCTATTACTGTATGGGCTTTTGGTTGCCCGTTTGATCCATATCTGCACAGAAAGTCCCTTCTTGAATAAATAGGGCCTGTAGTACTGACGTCACCAGAAGCAAAGCAAGTTCAGCTAGGAGAGGTGACAAATGTTGGGCTTGTTGTAGCGTCTAATTCGTCGACCATGAATCTGCAGCTCCTCACGAGAGTCTACATCGAAATTCCAGAGATTTAAATTTGAGAAAGAAAATTCAATACATATATTACCACTATTCAAACAGACATAAATAAACATTACCTCGTCAAGTAGATTCTTTGAATGCAGAAAATGAATGACAATTGACAAAGTAAATTTTCTTTCAGAAAAAAGTCACAACTGCTTTAAGAAGTTGGCTCCTATAAGACAAATTAGAAAGGTTTCAAATAAGTAATTTTTACTTAAAGATTAACATCTAACTATAATATTTATTCTTTAATTTATAATATTCATTCTCTTTTGCTGGTTTTTGCTCTTCTCTTATCTTAAATCTTCTTAAAAATTTTAAAAATCTGAATTTCTTCCAATGATCATATCCGGGTCTGTAGACCCGGAATCCGAACCCGTTGTCTCATTGTTAAAAATAAAAATTTTCCAATAATATGGATTGCCAATGGATGGGTAGAAGAGATGTCATCATTGTAAATCCAACCAGCTCTAATCAAGTTGATCCTGAATTGTCGGAGTCTGAAAAAAGGCTAAAGAAATGGTATTCTCAAAATCCATCGGAGACGTTAATAGCAACCGGTTTTATGGCCAGTACATTTGATAATATGCCCACAACTTTGAAGAGGAATGGAAGCAACAACTCTGCCTCTATAATGGGTGCTCTTCTCAGGGCTCGTCAAGTCACAATCTGGACTGATGTGGATGGAGTGTACAGTGCAGACCCAAGAAAAGGTTTGTATGCAGCCTTATATATGCTTATCTTGCAAAATCACTCTAATGTTTGTATATCTTCTTAGAACTTTAAGAAAACATTACTATTAGGTTATATCGTAACGTGGAGAGCTATCTTCTCTACAGTTAGCGAAGCTCTGATACTAGGGACATTGTCTTACGAAGAGGCTGGGAAATGGGGAACTTGATAGGGTTTGGGATAGGATCTGTTTATATGAGGAACAGAGACCTCCCAGAACAATAGATAAAAATATTAGTTGACAAAATTCATTTATTCATTCCCACAATCTGGATTTAGGCTATTATATAGCCTTACACTTGACTATATTGACTCTCAAAAGAACTCTAATTATAAAGGGATGATAAGATAATCGTAATTTTATCCTAATAAGATAATAATATAATTATAAAAGATAATTATAAAAGACTTAACATAATCATAAAAGACTTAACACACTTATCCTAATTCTAATTAACACACTTATCCTAATCCTAACATTGTCTTCCCCTTCGCCTCAACCTTGTCCTCAAGGTTGCAAGGTACGACACCATCAACAACAGTTATCCTGGTTCATCCTCGTGCTCATCATCATCATCCCCCTCCATCAGCAAGAGAAAGAACTTGGCCGTGCAGCGATGCCCAGGGTGAAAGCGCTCATCGCAATTATAGCACAAACCTTTGTTGCGTCGTTCTTGCATCTGTGTTGTTGTGAGTCGCTTAACAGGCAAGGAATCCGATTTGTTTGGAGTAGGCAAAAGGGTCTGCTGCACTGAAGGAACATTAGGAGTTGATTTACTAGGATCGCAAGATACGGGGTCGACAGAATGCAAGTATAGGTGTAGATCCTGTAGCTTGTCCTCCTGTAAGCGGGCAAGACTCATGGCATGGTTGAGGGTGTGAGGCCGAAAGGACTGCACCTCCCTTCGGATTTTTGGTTTGAGCCCTGATACAAGGCAACTTAGAAGGAACGTACTTGGAAGTCCAGAAACTTGATTAGAGAGTTCCTCAAATTTTGTTTGATAAGCGACTACAGAACCTGTTTGAGTAAGTTTCGCCAACTGCCCTTGGTAATTCACAAATTTCGAAGGCCCAAAACGAACATCTAAATCCTG